GGATAACATCACCTTGCTCATAGGGTAGTGGTGCCAGCTAATGAGATGAGGGGCGTACGATGGGCCAAGTGATGGGAAGCTTCTCTGTCCTCCTCCTCCAAACAAGAGCTTTACACCTGCGCACTTTCAAGTTCCACTGTGATCACAATCTGCTTTTAGCTGGGGCTTTCGAGAAAAGCTCAAAGCACACCCGACATCTCTCCACCTCACCCTCTTCCTTTCCCTTACACTCCAATGAGGCAGACAAATCAGCTAAGGAACGTGACTGAGCCAGGAAAGGCTGAGACCTCCACCTCCTCAGAAAACACAAACCAAACCCTTCTCAGTCTCTGCCTTCTGAATATGTATCTCTTCCTCTAGAGCTTCTCTTTAAGCGACCCCTAATAAAATCTTATCAGGACTGCTGGGTCCAGGCTGACAAAGCAGCTGTGGCCCTAGACTTGGTCTGGGAAGGCAAAGGGCAAACTCAGTGGACAGCTGTTCCCTCAGCCTTCTACTGACACCTTCCATGTCTGGGAAGCACAGAAGACATGAAGAATAAAGCTTGAACCTGCTTTCAGGGAGCTCACAGTCTAGCAGGGGCAAAGATTTAGAAACAATGACAATACAGAGGTGGGTCAATTTTTCACAAATTACCACAAACTTAAAACAACACAAATTTACTATCTTACAGTTCTGGAGGTCAGAAGTCCAAAATGGGTCTCCCTGGGCTAAAATCAAGGTGTGGGCAGGGCTGTGTTCCTTTCTGGAGGGCCTAGGGGAGAATTCACTTCCTTGCCATCTCCTATAGGCTGCCCAGATTCCTTGGCTTGTGGCCCCCTTCCATCTTCAAAGCAAGCAACAGCCAGCCAAGTCTTTCTCACATGACATCACTATAACATTGACTCTCCTGCCTCCCCCTCTCACATGTAAGGACCCATGTGATTACATTGGGCCCATTCTGGATAATCCAGAATAATCTCCCTATTTTAAGATCAGCTTATAAGCAACCTTAATTTCCTCTGCTCCGTTAATTCCCCATTGCTATGTAATGTAACATAATCACTGGCTCCGGGGATTAGGATGTGGACATCTCTGGATGCCATTGTTCTGCCCACCCAAAGAGTGACAAAACCAATACTGAGAACTTACAGTTATATAATGTTTACAACGTGCCCAATACTACACGAGGCACTTTCCAACATTAGCTCAAATAATCAAGCAACCCTGTGGGTACTATTATCATCCCCATTTTACAGAGAGGAAAGTGAGGTAAAGAGAGGTTAACTAGCTGGTTCAGAATCATCTAGCTCATAAATGGAACTTGAATGCAGGCTGTCTGGCTCCTGAGCCTGTTCTTAACCACTAGTATATGCAGCCTCTTAAGCAACAGTGAAACCTAGCAGGGGCCACAGGTCACTCACCTCAGAACAGGACTAAGCACTTTCATTCTGGAGCATGTGCGCTCACTCATGTACACTATACAGACGTTGTTGTTGTCGAATGCGGTCAAGTCCATTCCGACTCATTGCGACCCCATGTGACAGAGCAGAACTGCGCCAAAGGGTTTCCAAGGCTGTAATCTTTACAAAGCAGACTGCCACATCTTTCTCCTGCAGAAAGATGGAACCACTGATCTTTCAGTTAGCAGCTAAGCACTTAACTATTGTGCCACCAGGGCTCCTTACTATACAGATAACTGCCGGGATTCTGCCTTTTCTTCTCTGGGGTGTCTGCAGTCTATATGAGGTCAGCAGTCTGTGTTGTGGTTGCAGGACCCTCTAACCATGCCCAATGAAGAACATATTCAAGCATCTAAGCACTTTCTGTGTCTTGTACACATAGAATGTGCTTAGACATGCAAACTGCTGGTAAAGCACAGATAAATAAGTTGGTTCCTGTCCCTGAGCAACTTATGAAACATATATTCAGAGAAAAATGTCAAACTGAGCACTCCTCATTCCAAACATGGCTGCAGAAGGCTGGACACTGATCTGAGCGTTTTCTAGGCCAGTGCTTCTCAGACTTTAACATGCACAAGAATCACTCGGGATCTTGTTAAAATGCAGATTCTAATTTCTTAGGTCTGTGGTGGGGCCTGGGAATATTTTTCTAACAAGCTCAGGTGATGCCTATGCTGCAGGTCTGTGGATCACACTTTGAGTACCAGGTCCTTAAACTGCAGTGTTATTTCCCTATCAAAACTGTATAGTCATTCATTCATCCAGCACTCACTGTCAAACGCCACCAGGCACTGTGCTAAGTGCTGAGGATATGTAAAGCAAGATATATAAAGTCTGTGCTCTTCTGGAACTCATACTCCAAGGTCTTGGGAGTTTCTCTGAATTCCACAAATCAAGTGCAATGAGAAATACAAAACGAACCCCATTAAAGACAAAAACCTAATGGAACAGCCTGCAGAGTAAGAGCACTTACAAAGGCTGAGCTAGAAGCGACAACAATGCTGAGAGGAATACCTCTATTCAAGGACTCAACAGACGATGCAAGCTATGATAAAACCAGATATTCTTAAGAAGCGGAGTGGGCGACGGACAAAACTGAGTGTCAGGGCAGCTTCAAAACCAATAAAACCCATGGACATGGAGCCATGTGTATAAGCCATCTCTGGGTCCCTCTACTCAGTGTGGCAATACTTATCATTAAGACTTGCTAGTATTAGTGTGAACCAGGATACAAGCAAGAAGCTGTATGAAATGGGAGCAGTCAAGAAAGTGGTGTCGGAGGACAGAAGAAGCTGGATGGTTTGGGACATACTGAATGTTGGAGCTAAATGGGAGGGGACTTCAGAGATTCTCTTAGTAAAGTTCAAACCCTTGGTTTAGGAGTAAACTAAAACCCAAAGAGTTAAAGCAGTGGTTTGATTGTCACAACTGATGGAGTGGGGAGGGGTCAGGGATCCTGCTAAAACTCCTACAATGCATAGGACAGCCCACCACAATAAAGAATTGTTTCCAATTGTAAATGTGTCCTAAATGTCAACATTGCTAAGCTTAAGAAACTCTGTGTTAAGGAATTTGCCCAAGGTCAAAGAACAAGTATCACAACATGGACTAGATTAGTGCTGTCCAAGAGTACTTTCTGTAATGATGGACATGTTCTAACTAACACTTAATTGTGCTCTTGCTCCTGTATGTGGAACAAGAGGCAGTTATTCAAACAGAACAAGGGGTAGCGTGTGGCTCAAAATTGGAAAAAGTATGCAGCAGGGTTGTATCCTTTTACCTTACTTATTCAATCTATATGCGAAACAAATAATCTTAAGAACAATGAGACATCAGGATTTGAGGAACACTCATTAATAACCTGTGATACACAGATGACACAACCTTGCTTGCTGAAAGTGAAGACAACTTGAAGCACTTACTGATGAAGTCAAAGACTACTCCAGTATGGATTCACACCTGAAAGTGAAGAAAACGAAAATCCTCAAACGAAGACAGAAAAACAACATATGATAAATGGAGAAGAAACTGAAGTTGTCAATGATTTCATTTTACTCAGATCAACAATTAAAGTCCGTGGAAGTAGCATTGGGAAAATCTGCTGCAAATGATCTCTTCAAAGTTTTAAAAAACAAAATGTCACTTTGATGACTAAGATGCATCTGGCCTACGCCATACTCTTTTCAGTCATCTCATATGCATGCAAAAGTTGGATAATGAAAAAGGAAGACAGAGAATTGATGCATTCAAACTGTGAGGTTAGCAAAGAACGCCAAATACACTATGGACTACCAGAAGAATGAATAAATCAGTTTTAGAATAAATACAACCAGAATGCTCCTTAGAAGTAAAGATGGTGAGACTTCATGGCGAGGCCTTTACTTGCTTATTTTGGACATGTCATCAGAAAAGACCAATTGCTAGAAAACGACATCATGTTTGGTAATGTAGAGGGTCAGCGAAAACGAGGGAAAACCTCAATGGTATGGACTGACACAATAGTCACAACAATGCACTCAAACATACCAACGATCTTCAAGATGGTGCAGGACCATTCAGTGTTTTGTCCTGTTATACATAAGGGTGCCATGAGTTGGAGCTAACTCAATGGCAACTAATAACAACAACATCCACATGCATACGTTGCACACTTGAAATATGGTTAGTGGTACTGAATTTTTATATCTTATTTAATCTTTAATAACTTAAACAGCCACACATTGTCAGTGGCTACCCTACTGGACAGGGGAGAACTAGAATCCATACATCCTGACTCTTCTAGCTACACAGACTGCTTCTTTTTATTCTTCTGGAGGACTGAAATCACTCATCCATCTGACTTTATCACTAAGATTTATCTGGCTGGCAAAAAATACATAAGTAAAATAATAACAATAATAAAATCTTAATAAAGCATTCCCTGTTAAGCACCGTTTTCTGCGTCAGGAAATAAAGTAAAATGTTAGATCACGGTAACACATACATGCAATAAAATTGCAGAAGCAAGAAAGGTCAGGTTATTTCCACTTCCACTTTTAGGGAAAGGTGATGTTACAGAAATAAAACCTTCTGAGTCTTGAGGTCGGGAAGATTTCAAGTGATTTCTCCATTTGGTTACGTAACAGTCCCTTTTCAAGTCTCAGAATTGGATAAAATACCAGGCAGGTCTACATCACTAATAAATTCTCACGCCTCCGACATCTCTGCCTTCACAGAGGCTGCTCTGTGAATTGCTAGTCTGATGGACACCACTAGTACCAGGTACTGTGCTAATTAAACACTACACGCACATTAAATCATTTCATTGTCACAGGAGCCTTTTGGGCATCAGGAGGTTAAAGAACTTTGTTCAAGTCACACAGCCAGTCAGAAGCAAAGCTGGGACTCGAATCCAGATGTGACTCCAAATCTGCTCTTAAGCAGTGTGCTAACTGCCGGAAACCAGGAAAAGCAACATTGGCTAGGAAAGCGTATGCAAAGCAGCGAGGGGGCTGCACAGCCACGGCAGGATCCCGGCCCCGCTCCCCATGCCTGGCACAGGGTACCAGTGGCTCTTACTTCTCGATCTCCAGCGCTGCTACCTTCCGCTTTTCGTACAGCTTGTCATTGAGGGCGCGCACGATGTTGGGGGTAAGTGGCGCGAAGTCCTTCTCGGGGTTCATGGTAGCAGGTCTGGGCGTGCCGCGTAGCCCCGCGACTCCTCAGCCCGCGGCGGCCCGGGCAGCACCTTGGCCAGAGGAGTCTCCGGCTCCGCGCTGCCCCCAGCACCGGCTCATGGGCCACGCCGCCCCGGGCCCTCCTGCTTCTTCTTGCCGCTGAGCGCCGTCTCAGAACCCGAACCCGAATCCCACCCCTGCACACCTGCTCCCCGCCGCCTAACGGCTCACGCGACTAGCTCCCGCCCGGCACCTGCCCTCCTCATGGGACTGCGGCCATATTATTCGTATCACATGACCCTAAAGCAGCTTCCGCCTTCCGCTGCGAGGACCCGCCCCCTGCCAGCCGCGCCCCACACGCTGGCCTCAGGTGGGTTGACCACGCCCCCCAAAAGCTCCACCCCGCTCTACTCACACTCGCTCCCCCCCCCCCCGCCCCGGTAGCCGTGGTGCGTCGTGAAACATGCTTTACGGCGTGTGTCACGCTCTGCGGCTGTAAACGTGGTGGGCCTTTTGTAGATGTTCAGGAGAGTAAGGCTTTTGGAGCTCGGCACACTTAGCATAATGTATTCAATACGTACTGAAATCTTTAATTCATTAAGTACTTAGTTGCCAGTCAATTATCGTATATGCCAATGTTCCCAAAATGGAGTAACGCCATCATGATTTTCGCCACATCGTAGCCGCTTTACTGTTATTTAATATTTTTCTGAAATCAACTCACTTAAAAAAAATGTTAAATTCTTACTTTAGCCTTGCTTCTGCCTTAAAATCACGGGTTTGAATAGCTAGTTATATGTTTTAAGACACATTAGAAAAAGTTCTCAATTATCAAATGGTGCTACTTGTCTACCACCTAAAACCTCAGGTAGTAACAGTGGTTGTCACCACGCTACTTGGGAATCGAGGTGTGCTAACCGACCATGGTCTGATACCTAGAAGGGCTAGATGTGCTGTAGGGGAAAAAACATAACAAAGTTTAGTAAAGCAAAAAGAAAGTTTTATTCAGCATATATTCAAAAGGGCAAAAGTAGGAAATGGGCAACCATGCTGCCAGAGCCATGTCTGCCCTAGTGCAAAGAAATATCACAGAACAGACAAAAGGGAAAACGGACAAGCATGGTGCTAAAGCCATGTCTTCCAAGCCCAAAGAATATTACGGAGCAGACAAGAATGGGAAAACGGATAATCATGCTGCCACAGCAGGTCTGCCAGACTCCAAGAATCCATTACAGAGCCATCAGTATATGTTAACATTACAAACGGGCAAAACCATTGAAAGCCTCACCTTTTCATAGATTGGCTAGAAATTGTGATCCTACATTTTAAATCTACCATCATTGGTACAAGTTTCAGGAACAACAGTGAGGAGGGTCTTCATTGGTCCAACAAATTTCTGTTCACTAAATGCTAATAGAAAAAGATACGAGTAGAAAGTCTTTTGTGTTCTGTTTGATTGACTTTATGTGGAAGTTTCCCTAAAGATATTTTCAAAGATTATCTTAGCTATTTACACCTCAGGGCCGAGTTGATGTGTCCTTGTGAGCCCAGCTCCAGCTGGGTCACATTCTCTATGCTCAAGGAGAGGGAGTAAATGATTCCAATATTGTTTTCTGAATCAGATGACAGATGGCAGAAGCCCCCAATCAAGTGCAGGTTGCCACATGGATCCACTGCAGAGCTTCCCTCTAGAGTTCGTTGGTGGAGCAGAAATTGAGGCTCCATGGTGAAATTTTAGGAAGCAACTTGTGGACACAGGATGGCTAAAGGTACAGTGTCCTAGTTACCTGGTGCTGTCCTGACAAAAAATACCACACATAGGTGGCATTAAAGAATAGATGTTTATTTGCTCAAAGTTCTGAACGCTAACAGTCCAAATCAAGGTCTTTGCCATGTTGATTTTTTTCTGTAGGCCAGCTCCACTGTGGTCTAGCCCCTGTCCTAAGCCCTGGTCTACTCTGGAAGCTAATGATAAATAACTCTGCTGCATCTCTCCATTTGCATGTTGTAGATTGAATTGTGTTCCCCCAAAATATGTATTGAAATCCTGGCCCCTGCACTTGTGGATGTGACCCTGTTTGGGAATAGCTTCTTTTGTTATGTTAATGAGGCCATGCCTTAAACTGAGGCTAGCTGGATGAGGAAGCAGCTGGGACAACTGATTTCAGCCTATTAAGACCCTCAGCCAAAGACCCAGCTCCACCCATTTCAGAGTCTTGATCCACAGAAACTGTGATGTAATAAATGTGTGTTGTAATTTGTTATAGAGCCATAGAAAACTAACACACAGGCTAACCCAAAATTCAGTAAGTCATGAAGGAATTATGTCTAGAAAAATCTTTGAAAAATATTTTTCCCTTTACTGGTGGATTTTTCACAGCTGTTAAAATCATTGCCAATACAATTCAATGAGTAAAGGTGGGTCCACCACCAGTCTGAAAACTGTCCGCAATATGGATTCATCGCCTAAAAAAAGTATTACTTAATAGTTTCCTCCTCTTTTCTCGATAACAAGTAGCACTGCCAAGGACTTTTCCAAATGTTTTTCAAGTTTCTGTCTAGGATTTTGGTGATGGTTGATGCAATTTCTCCAATGTGTATTCATTTTCATTGGACCTATATCTAATATAATATTTCATCTGTTTCTTTTATGTCTTGGTTTGGCTTTTCTTAAAGGTGAACTGAATTTCCCAAGAGTCATCATATAATACAGTTTTAGTAACTGAAAAAGTAAAGACATGTTTTTACCAGAAGGAACTCTTTTCTCCTCAAATTACATTCTGGATTAGGTTGCTAAGAAACCAGTTTTTTACTAAAGGCTCAAACCAGTGCTTTGTCCTACCTTTAGATCAGAAGTTCCTCTCTCTCCTGCATGGGCTTTGGGTGGAGGGAGGAGGGAGTAAGGATAGGGGGATTCTCAGTTATAGGTGTGTGTCTCAGAAACAAATTCACTCCATGGCCAGTCTTTAATCATCTTTATTTCAAAACTCACTTTGGTGGTGCCAACAGGGAAGTGGTTCAATTAACACATACAGCAAGACCCAAGGAAGAGACGGCTGTGGAGCTATGTCTCTGGGCTCAGGCACATGCCCTACTGCTCCACGGAGGTGGAGGTGGAGGTGGAGGCTCCACAGTACTTTCCCTGTGAAGTTCCCCTGCTTGAAAAAGGCACTGACATAGATCATCACCCTTTATGTGCACACAAGATAGTTGCAGTTTAAACATATTGAATATGGACACGGTCCTTCCCCTGGAAGGAGATTCCAACTCAGTTGCAGCACAAGTGGCTGGGCAGATGTATGATCTGTAGCACTGGCCCTCAACCCGGCTGCATAAGTTTTCAAAAAAGAAAAAAATACGATGCTCAGCCCCTCCAAGACCAAGTAAATCATTGCTGAGGGAGGGGGGATTCTGGATCAGGATTAGGTGATTCTGTCTCACCAACCCCTGCTCTACAAGTTGAATGCTGCACATGGGGTTAGAGTGGGGCAGGGGGTTGGGATCTCTATTAGTGCCTTTCCAGAACCTGGCCATCAGCAGGAACAGACATGGGATTCAGAGATTGACAGAAAAGCCAAGAAAAAAGTGCATGGGAGCTTCCTTGGCCCCTGTCCCTGCCATGGTTGCCCTAAAGTTATCTGTAAATCATTATGAAAATAGTTACTTATTTGGCTTTTATGTGAAAGCAGAATAAAATAACACATAGAGTCACATCTAAAGACTGTTTAAAACATTGGATTTTAAAAAGAAACTGCAGTGCTCCAGATCATGAACTGCTAAGTGCTCTCTGATACAAGGTCATGAGTGTGATAATTGTCTTGTTAAAAATGGGGATTTTTACAGAATACCTGAGCTCTGGGGATATGTTAAATAGTTAAATTCAAGGACTGACAAGGAGCCAATTATCTAAAATATAGGTCTGCTGTATGCAGCTACTATGTTTAATATATATATATTTGGAATATGTATACTATGGAAGTAACGGCACCTATAATTGAATGAGGAGGATAAAAGAGTACCTTTGGGATTCTTATTCTTTATCTTTTGTCAGGCTAGAACAATACATAGATACTAAGGCTGAGGAGACAGCTTTTTATTGATGCAACTGACCCTGGTAACCTCTAAGGGGTGATCCCCTTCAGATAGTACACCCACTTAATTCCTGTTTCACTGCCTTCCCCAGGAGGGCAGGACACAATCAGCTTGCTGGTGATGGGTGTTTTGCTGCCCGAGGGGTTTCCTTCAAAGTAGACTGTGATGTTGTTGATCTTCTTGGGCCGTACGGAGTCTCCAGCGCGGATGGTGAAGGCCGGGTTCTCCACAATGATGGAGAAGGTCACCGTACGGTAGAAAACATTCTTGAAGGGGATGATGATGTTGTAGCCGGCTCGAACCAGAAAGGGCCCCTGGGGCTTGGGGGGTAGAGACATTCCAAAGAGGGGTATGATATACTCCCCGCCTGTGAGTGACGACAGGATCAGGGTGCCCCTGGTCTCACCCAGGTGGCTGGGCTCAAAGATGACTTCCACGCTGACCTCGGTGCCTCCCTGGGCTCCTGGGGCTGCGTTAATGACTCTTTCTGTGTGGAAGTCTGGACAGTCGGTCTGTAAGGGTAACAAGTGCACTCGGCTCACACAGCATCCTGAAGAGCATATAAACTGGGAGCTCAAGTCCACCCCAACCCTCTGCTCGTGGACATCAAGCCAGTTACGCTCCTGTGAGGCTGGACAGGTTATAAAACTGTGTCCTTGTAAGTACCTTGAAGAGTAGGTATTGATACTTATTATCCCTATTTTACTATGAACTGAGGCGCACAGATGTTAAATTACTTGCCCAAAGACACACAGTGAGATTATGTTGGTGGGGCAGTTGGTGCTGCTCCCCCACATCTGGTTCTACTTTCCTTCCATGCACATGCAGGATGGAACTTTCTGGCTTCTGGTGCCTGGCTGGGACTAGTTCTGAACAATAAGTTGTGAGCAGAAGTGAAAGGTGTCACTTTAATGCTGGAGCATTTACTTGCAGTGCAAGCCCCTCCAGAGTCTTTCTTTCTGGAACCATGACTGGAAACATCTGGGATGGTGGTGTATATATAGTCTATCACTGGTTATGTTTCTCTAGAGAACCCTGCTGAGACATTCGGTGTGGTCTGGTAAAGAAGTTTTGTTCAATGGCCTGAGTGACAGTGATGTGTGCCACTTCCTCCTCTTTCCCCAAACTGCTTATGCCCAGATTGTTATTTGAGAGAGGAATAAACTTCTATTTTATTGTTATTTTGGGTTTCTTTTTCAGTAGTAAAACCTGTATTCCAACTGATATAACAGCTAATATATATGGAGCACTTACTATGGGTCAGGGACTATGAAAACTGTTTTATGTGCATTTAAAAAATCCTCCCAGCAATCCTAGGAGGTCAGGAGTATTACCTCCATTTAAAGATGAGCCTAGAAAGCTTAAGTAAATTATTCACACAATGAGTAAGTGATGAAGCCAGGATTCAAGTAGAGGCTTGTTCTATTCCTTAGCCTCTACTCACAGACACTGATCTACACTACTCCCGTTAGTAACTACTGAGCATGCTGTGGGAAGCAGAACATTTCCCTTCTAGCTTGTTAAGGTAAAAAGTCAGTAAAGGAAGGACCTAGACCTGGAATGATTTGTTTCCAGCTGGGAGTTTCCAAGCTAAATTCAGGCCTCCAAGGTGGCGGGCACTATGACAAGCACCTGACTCCCGCTGAGTTTCAGATTCCTGCACCCTCTACGTTTTCCTCCCATTAGTTTTGAGCCCAGACTCCTGGCAAGAGAAGGGCGGAGGGTGGGGCAAGGGCTGCTCACCCTGCAGAGGTATTCTGTCTTCTGCCGGGTATAATTGGTGAACTTGGCAAAGATGCTCTGGCTGCTGCCAATAACAGTCTGGAAGTGGACGGGCTTTTCAGGTAGTGCGGGGATGGCTTTCAAACTGAGCTCATACAGGTAGTAACCCAATTCACTGTTGTGCAAAGATAGTCTCCCGAAGGTTTCTCCAGCTTTCAGGGGCTGGAACTCAAATGAGAATGTGCCCTGAAAGAAAAGACAGAAGCTCCTGTGATGCTAAGAGTCCAATCCATCCCTGGCAGCCCAGTGTCCTGCCCCCTGCCCGAGGCCTCATAGCAGGGTGGTGGCAGAAATGGTCCTTCACAAGCAAATGCTCACACTGATCTTGAGCCTGGGGCCCCTCTGTCAAATCAGATCCAGCTTCCCTCCTCTATAGCCCTTTGGTTTTCTCTGGCCCATGTGTTTCTATATCTGGAATTTTCTGAATCTAAAAATAGGTACTCAAGTTCCTCTCCTGAGAATGAAGAATACCAAAGACACAAGGAAAGTAGTAGCCCAAGAGACAAAAGGGCCACATAAACCAGAGACTTCATCAGCCTGAGACCAGAAGAACTAGATGGTGCCTGGCTACCACCAATGACAGCCCTGACAGGGAACACAACAGAGAGTCCTGGACGGAGCAGGAGAAAGGTGGGGTGCAGAACTCAAATTCTAGTAAGAAGACCAGACTTAATAGTCCGACTGAGACTGGAGGAACCCTGGAAGGCATGGCCCCTGGATTCTCTATCAGCCCAGAACTAAAACAATTTCTGAGGCCAACTCTTCAGACAGGGATTGGACTGAACTGTGGGACATAAAGTGATACTCGTGAGGAGTGTGCCTCTTAGCTCAAGTAGATACAAGGGACTAACTGGGCAGCTTCTGTCTGGAGGTGAGATGGAAGGCGGAGAGGGTTAGGAGCTGGTTGAATGGACATGGGGAATTGGGTGGAAAGGGGGAGTGTGCTGTCACAGTATGGGGAGAGCAATTAGAGTCACTTAACAATATATGTATAAATTTTTGTATGGGAAAAAATTTAAAAAAAGAAATAAAAAATAAAAAAGTCAACAACAACAAAAAAGTTCCTCCCCTGAGAAGCACACTTATGGGGATGGGGTTTGGGGCGCTGTCAACAGGAAGGATGAATGTCAGGCAGCTCCTTCTTGCTCACAGCCAATCTCAGACCAGCTTCCTGGTCTCTGCCTTCATTTGGGAGAGGCTTTGTCCTTCCTCTATCATTATCGATAGCAAAATCAAACCAAAGAGTATTGCTTATAATAGCAAAACATGGGAAACAATTCAAAGACCCAGGAGCAAGAGGTTGGTAAAGTAAATTATAGTTTACCCACTTCAGTGGGATATTATGTAGTCATTAAAAAGGATGAGGTAGAGCTATAAGCATTGAAATGAATGTGTTGATGATATAATAAGTGGAAAAAAGGAGGTTCAGGAAAGTATATAAAGTAGCTTCTTTTTGTGGAGAAGAATACACCTATATACGTACAGAAACGAGACTACAAGGATATATACCAAACTGTGACCAGTAGTTATCTAGGGTGGGGGAAATAGGATTGTGGGGAACTTTTGTTTTCTATTTCATACACTTTTGTATGATTAAAATTTTGTTTTTACCATGTATAGGTATTATGATTTTTTAAATAACTAGTTCTTATTATTGAAAAAATAGAATAAAAAGAAGATATCACTAAGTCATTGCAGACGTTTCACAGAAAAGAATATAGTATAAAAATGTAGATTAAATGGACAAATGTATAAGCAAATATAACTTACAAAAACAAACCCAAGAAGGTATAGAAAACCTACATAGTCCTGAACTATTAAAGAAATCAAATCAATAGTCAGAAATCACCCTTAATAAAATCTCAGGATCACAAAACTTTATTTGCAAGTTCAATTAGACCATCAAGGTTGAAAGAATTCTAGTCTTCCACAAGTTCTTCCAGAGAAAAGAAACAGACAGAACCCACTTCAATTAGTGTAGCACTGATACTAAAATCCAACAAGGGTAATGAGAGAAGGAAATATTGGATGCCATTCTTCTCCCTGAACATAGATACAAAACTCCTGATAAAAATGTTGTCCCACTGAATCTAGCAATGTGTAAAATAAGAGAATAAAACATGACTAAGTTGAGTTTATTCCATGAATGCAAAGTTGGTTTAATATTAGAAAAACCAAGCAATTACCACACTGACAGAATATTAGACAGCAGTGAAGATGAGTGAGCCTCAGCTATGTGCAACAACGTGGAATGACTCTCACAATCGTATTACTGGGTAAAAGAAATAGGACTTTAAAGAGTGCATACAATATGATTTCTTTCACAGAAAGTTCGAACAGGTAAATCTAAACTGTATTGTTTAAAAAGCAAGAAATGATTATCAGGAAATACAGTGGTAATTTTTAGGGTGAGGGAGGGAGGGTGCTGTGATTGGGGAAGAGCACACAACTGATGGGTTCCTGGGTGGTGGCAATCTTATATTTCATAATTACTTGCTTAAAATGTGCATGTTTTAATATTCATGTATATAAAGGCATACATATATTATCTATACTTTCCTGTATAGAGTTTATAGTTCACAATGAAAAATATAAAGTAAAACAAAGGGCATGGAGACTCTCTGAAGAACAAAATGGAATCCAGATTGAGAAGGTGAAGGAAAAGCTAGAGTGGGAGTGAGGGGAACAAGCCAGATGGGCTGAAGTTGGAGAAATAGAAGAGATTTTGATGGAATCACTACTCTGGTGAGTGACAGTTTGGAATGATAAACAGATGAAAAAAATAAAAAGAGAATTTGTCTCCCTACAGTCTGAAATTCCAGGCCATGTTCCCCCAGCCACTGTCAAACGTTTCTTGTGTACCCTTCCCGAAACTATCTGTACATAACTAAGCATATATACATGTGTGTGTGGTGTACACTTGACACATTATTATGTATCTTGCTTTCCTTTTCACAACATATATTCTATGCTACTTTTATAATTAGCAAAACCAAAATATTTTTAGTTTGATTAAGGCAAACAAGCAAATAATAGAAAACAAGGTTCATAACAGAGAAGTCCATTTTCCCTGCCTGAACCAAGCTTCTTATGTCCCCCTAGTTCGTGTGAGGACTTTGGCAGAAGAGGAAAGAGGAGGACATGCTGTGATGGTCCCCTGCCTTCCTGACCACCACTAGAGCTGGCCCAACCTCAGAGGATGCAGAACATGGATCCAGAGGTCCTATGGAGAGAAACCCCTGTCACACATACAAGGGACCCAGGAAGCCAGGGTTGTACCTCGCAGTTAGCTGGCACCGAAAACTGGGAGGGCAGGCTGATTTCGGGCACCCTGCATTCTGTGGAGAAGGTCACCGAGTAGGGCAGGGGGTTCTCCAGCTTGATGGCGGCTGATGCACTCTGCCGGACCACGCTCACCATCTCGATGGTTTTGATGATGCCTGAAGGGATGACCCTGAAACTCACTGTGTAGTGTAAGAACTCGTTGGTCACTTCGTTTCGGAAGATCACCTGAATTCGCAGGGAGAGCGGAGGAATCAGGCCAGAGCAGAGGGGTTAGCTGAGTGTCCTCTGCACATTTACAGAGACCCTTCTACCTGTTAGCACGGCCTGGGCCATATGGTAATTGTATGTTTGTATGGCTAACTTTTTGAGGAACTGCCAAACTGATTTCCACAGTGGCTGCACTACTTTACATTCCCAGCAACATACTTGACATCACTTGTTATTTCCTTTCATTCTTTACATTTCTTTATCCTCATGTGCCAAAGCCTGGGGATACTACTCAGCTCCATCTTCTACCCTCGAACATTACTAGCTGTGTATCTCAAGTGCTCAGCATGATGGCTGATGCTGTGTAAGCACTCAGAAAATGGGATCCTGTGTTGTGGTCTGGTGTTTGCTGCTCCAGGGTTACCTGATGTCTAAAGGTTTTCTTTCTTTTTTTTTTAATAATTTTATTTATTTTGTTGTTGTTGAGAATATACACAGCAAAACATACACCAATTCAACAGTTTCTACGCGTACCATTTAGTAACACTGATTACATTCTTTGAGTTGTGTAACCATTTTCACCCTCCGTTTCTGAGTTGTTCCTCCCCCATTAACATGAACTCTCTGCCCCCTAGGGTTTCTGTCTAATCTTTTGAGTGGCTGTTGTCAATTTGATCCCATATAGATAGTTCTTAAAAGAGCATAATGCTCAAGGCAGACATTTTTTTACTAGTTAAGCTGAACTATTATTTGGTTTTAAGATGACTTCAGGGGATATTTTTGGTTTAAGGTTCAAAGATTATCTCAGGGCAATAGTTCCAGGGGTTTATCCAACCTTCATGGCTCCAGGATGTCTGGAATCCATGAGAACATGAAATTCTGTTCTGCATTTTCCCAGTTTTGATCAGGATTCTTCTACGGAATCTTTGATCAAAATGTTTGATCAAAATGGTACCTGGACGCCACCTAGTTCTTCTGGTCCCAGGGCAAAGGAGGCAGTTGTTTATGGAGGCAATTAGCCACACATTCCATAGCCTCCTCCTATTCCTGACTCTCTTCCTGTGTTGCTCCTGGTGAATAGAGACCAGTTGTGATGCCTTGGATGGCCACTTGCAAGCTTTTAAGACCCAAATGCCTAAGGGTTTTCATGATTCTTTTGCCCTGAAGGCTTGTCATGGGCTTACATGATGGGTAGATGGCCTGCAAGCTGGGCTCATCTTAAAGAAACTGGGAGTCCTGCCAGGTCAGTCTGGCTAGTCCAATAGGACAAGATGTCTGAAGTCGCTCAGCAAAGGCTTGCTGGGGGGACATCTCAACTCCCTAACACCAGATTGCCAGGCTCAGGGTCAAACCTTCAGGGCCCCAGGGTAGGCAGTGTCTTTGACATGTCGTACCTTTGCAGCATACAGTCCCTCCTTGTAGGAAAAGAAGTTCAACTTGTAGTCTTTCTTTGAGGCAGACAGTACATCAATGTAATCAAGGCCCTTTAGGGTGACGCTTAGGTCCGTCTTCTCCGGTTTTGTCATTTCCACAATGACCCGGAATCTGGGGAACACAGGAATACATGGAGAGAGGATACAGAAAACGAGACCATTTGCCCAAAGAAGAGATGTAAAAGTGTTCTTTACCCTTCATTTTATGGAAAGTGTGTGGGTCCAGGGTTCTAGTCTTCACTTGGTCACCAACCATAACAGTAACTATTATTTCTTCATCACCGATTATGTGCTTTGCATGTGTTACAGGCATTTAATTCTTGTAGTGACTACAAGGAAGTACATATCACTACCATCCCCATTTTACTAATGAGGAAATAGAAGCCAAGAGAAGTAAGATAATGTGCTGAGGTAACATGACTATTAACTGGCAGAACTGGGATTCAAACTCAGGTCTGGACCTCCATCCATTATGCTAAGCAGGTGGTGTTTGGCAAATTACGTCTTTTCTCCCAGCCTTTGGTTCCTTCTCTGTAAATGAAAGGGGACCAGGCTGGTTGGCCTTAAGTTCCACCAGTCCTTACATTCTACTCTACTCCTGCTGCAAGCACAAGATCCAAGGGACAGCTTTCTCTAGCTAGCGGCTGAGATGATAAGACAGAGCACTCAATAATACCAATGATGATTATCGTAATTTATGATAATAATATTAACAGCTAATATTTATTGAGCACGTATTTTGTGCCAAGCATTGTTCCAGGGAAGGTACAACTGAACAGTTAATACATAGACCACACTGAACAGAAGAATCTCTCTGGAAGCTTAGAGTTCAGGCTACGCCTGGCCACACCAGGGAACTATGTCTCTCACTCCTTGAACCCCCCTGACCTCTGCAATGCCCTCTAGAGGTCCTGACCAGGGAAGGGGCCAGGCCAGAGAGTGAAAGTCCTCCCTCCATTCCCAGCCCCCTGCTCCAGACCCCTTTCCTTATTCACTGACCTCTGGGGCTTGTTCAGCCAGTTGGTGATTGGCAGGAGCTCAGTGTAGGGTGTCTTACATGGCACTTCACGGTAGATATTGGCCACAGCTTTGGGGAGCTCAGAAGTCCCATGCAGAGAATACAGCCAACCAGTCCCATCTGGAAGGGGAAAGAAGAGGGTCCCCTAAGGGGAAGAAGAAATGTGATGAGAATGGCACAGAGGGCCCTTTATTAGATTCTATCATCATGGTGGTGACACAGGATTAGCGGAGGTTCTGCAAATAAACAGATCACTTTTGGAAAGCAACTTGCAATATATTTCAAGGGTCATAAAAATGCACATATGTATTTGGACCGGGAATACCACTCCAGCGAACTTAGTGAAGAAAAATCCCTCCAAGGAAAAAGATACATGTGTGTATATATTTACTGTAGAACAACTTAAAATATTGATGAAAATCTGGAGGTAAATTAAACATTCAGCAAAAGGGGGATATTAGATAAATTGTGGCACTCCCATTCAATGAACACTAAGCAGACATTAAAAATGGTTATTGTGAAGACTATTATATGATTAGGAAGAAAAATGCTCATGGTATAATGTAAAGTGAAAATAAAAAAACAATGCAAAATTGGCTATGCTATAATGACAGCTATGGCTGTATCTGTATAAATACTGAGAGTGAAAAAAGAAATAGAATGTTTCATTTTTGTGGGCTTCTTTTCTTTTTAGATTTTTATTACAGTCGCCATAATGTTGTTCGTGCAGTTAAGCTAACTACTAATTGCTTAATGCTTGGTGCAGGACTCCATTTCAGATCACAGCCCTGGCTCCAAGACAATCTCCCCTATATGAAAACATACGGACCAAAATGGGAGCTTTCCGCTTGTTAATCTGCATACTTCCCCACTGTTTCACTGTGATCCGCAGGCTCCCCCAATTCAACATTCTCTGAGCTGAGACTTTGTCTTCTAGCCACTCTCGTACAGCTGCTGCCCTTCAACTATGCCAGGGAACTCACGGGGAGGCCTCAACCTACCTGATGCTTTCGATTTTCCACATTCATCGTTCGTGGCTTGTAGGTGATCTCATAGGGCTTGTTCTGCTGATGGGCCTCCAGGGTGATGAACTCGGGCCCCTCCCAATGCTCACCCTCGAAGATGGGGTGCAGATTCCAGGTCTGGTTGGTGCGATTGGAAAGCAGGATGGTCTGTGTGTGCTTGGAGCGCACCTGGCAGGTGAAGTTCACCACCTGGAAGAAAGCGGGAACCTCACCTTCCATGCACTTCTCCCTGGTCTCCCTTGGGGGTCAGAGATGCAGGGTAGGAGCTGAGGAGGACTGGTGTTAGAGTTTCACCTGATAATTTTCTTTTCCTTTCACTCATTCAACAACTATCTATTGGGCATTTTCTATGGGCCAAGCACTGTTCTCAGTGGTAGATAGACAACAATGAACAAAATAATAAAAATCCTGTTCTCAAAGAGCTTGCAGTCTAGCAAAGGCGAGTCAGACAATAGACAAATAAGTATAATACAGAATATATAGGATAGGAATAAATACTATGGAGAAATCAAGCAAGGCAGGACTAGAGGGAATGCCAGCTTGGGGAACAGCTATGCAATTTTAAATAGTGTGATGCTTCACTGAGAAGACGTATTTGATTAAAGACCAAGAAGGATGAAGTCATGAAATACCTGGGGAAGATCATCCCAAGCAGCGGAAACAACCATTGGAAAAGTCCTGAAATTTGAGAAATGGCAAGGAGCCAGTGTGACAGATGTGAAGTGAGTGTGGGGGAGATAAGCAACAGGGAATGAGAGCACGTAGGGTCTTGTGAGTCATGGTAAGGAGTTTGTTTTTCCTTCTATTGAAATAGGACTTAAGGGAGTTTTGAGTAGAGGAGAGTCAGGATTTGATTTGGATGCTGTGCTGAGGGCAGTAGACACGCGGGAACAGAGAAAGAGAGACCAGTGAGGAGACACTCACAACAGGCGAGGTCAGAGGTGCTGTGGACTGGCGTGGACTGGCATGGACCAGAATGGACCGACACTGGTAGCAGTGGAGACGGTGGGAAGTGAGTCGATTCCAGTTGTATTGTGAAGAGCCAACGGGATTTACTGATGTACTGAATCTTGAGTGTAAGTGAAAGAAGGCTTGAGGATGACTGCAACATTTTTCGCTTGAGCAACTACAAGGATAGAGTTGTCACTTAATGAGGTAGGGCTGACTGTGGAAGTAGCAGATTTTGGGGAGAGACCAGGAGCTCAGGTTTGGGCATGTTAAGTGTGAGATACCAATTAGACACTAAGTGGAGACATCAAGCAGGCAGTAGAATTTATAAATCTTGAGTTCAGAAGAAAGGACCAAGCTGAAGATGTAGACTTGGGAGTTGTCAGTCTAGCAATATTTTTAAGGTCAAGAAACTAGATGATTTGATCAGGAAGTGAGTGTATTTAGGAAAAAAAAAGAAATCTAAGGACTAATCCCTGGCTGGTGTACTCCAATGTTAAGAAAAATCAGGAGATGAGAAGCAGCAGCCAGTGAGGCAGGAGGAAAACCAGGAGAGGGTGGTACCCTGGAAGCCAAATGAACGAGGGACTTCAAAGGGGAGGGACTGATTCATGATGTCAAAAGCTACTGACAGTTCAAGTAAGATGGGGAATGAGAACTGACCATTGGATTTAGCAATATGGACAGTGTGGTACTGGCATAAAGATAGTCAGATGGACAAAATGAGTTCCGAAATACATTCACACATACAGAGTCAATTGATTCTTTACAAATATGCAAAGGCAATTCAGTGGAGAAAGATAATCTTTTCAAGAAGTGGTGCTGGAATAATTGGATATCCATACACAAAAACAAACAAATTTTGATTCGTACCTTGCACTCACAGAATTAATTCAATTAGATTGAAGATCTAAATGTAAAGAACTCTTAAAACTCAATAATAAGAAAACAATCAGCCCCAATTAAAAATAGGCAAAAGATTTTAACAGATACTTCAGAAAAGAAGATATGTAGCTGGCAAATAAATACCTGAAAAGATGCTTAACATCATTAGTAGTTAGGAAAATGTAAATTAAAACAACAATGAGGTACCATTACACACCTATTAGAATGGCTAAAATTTTAAAAACTGACCAGACCATACTAAGTGTTGGTGAGGATGTGGACAACTGGAAATCTCCGATATTGCTGGTGGGAATGTAAAATGAAACAACAACTTTGGAAGACAGTTAGGCAGTTTCTTAAAAACATAAACATAGACCTATCATATGACCTAGCCATTCTACTCTTAGGCATTTACCCAAGAGAATGAAAGCATATTTCTTTACAGAGACTTGTACATACATGTTTATAGCACACGGTATGATTCCATTTATGTAATGTTCTTGAAGTAACAAAATTATAGAGATGGTGATCAGGTGTCAGGCTTACCCTAAGCAATGCTGCCAAGTAACACAGCTGACAGTCCACTATTGGGTTTCTAGGAACAAGGCTAGCAGAGGGTTAACCCAAGCTCATTTTCCCCCCCATAGAGAAAGAGAAAGGTGTTAACTCCTTACTCATAGAGTTTATAACAGGAATTTGATCTAGCCAGGGAAGTCAATGCAGGCTTCCTTGAGAACATAATACTCAAGCTGAGAGCTGAATAATGAATAGGAATTAACTAAATGAAGAAGAAAGAATAGTCCAGCAGTGGGAATAGCATCTACAAAGGCCCTGTGGTGGGAGGGAGCAGGCCTGAACGTTTGATCCAGGCATGGAGGATGGTTTGAACAGATCCACTTGTTTTTAGGAGGCCTGGCTGAGTTCTAGGGATGAGAGGGCCTGCTGAGCTCACTATGGCTACTGTTGTCCCTGGACAGCACTTACTAACCTCTTTTACTGCAGGTGGTCCCACGCAGACTCCAGACAGGGTGAGAGTCAGAGGACTGCCTCCCTGGATGAAGCACTGCATGTTTTTATAGAGACTCTCCTTTCCCACCTCCGTGGGATGGTAGGTCACTTCAAAAGAAACCTCCATGCCCGCAGTGATATAGCCTTCTTCTGGGGTGATGGAGAAATGAGGCTCAAATTTTCTGGCATCCCATTTAAATCTTTTCCAAGATAAAAGAAGACAAGGAAAGCAGTTTATTACTATCCCGAGGGTGTCCTCAATCCTACTAAGTACAAGAGACTTTGCCTGGGCTCTGAGCTAGGACAGTCACCTTCCTCGAGTGGTCCCTGGGACCTCGGAGGTAGAAGACTCTGCCAGGCAAAGCAGAGGTAGGTGGAGAACGTGGGCCAAGATCACTTCCTATGTAAGTTGATTCAGCTCCCTCTCAGAGCTGCGCCATGGGTGAGAAGTGGCTGCACCTTACCTATCACCCTGAATAGTAAAATCCCACAAGTGACACTTTGGGGAACATACACATGAACATGCATACACATGTGTACCCAAGGCCACATAGCTAGTAAGTGGCTGGGCTCCTAAGACTGAAGCCCTCCTGAAACTGTGGCCTCACTCCCTGCACTGCCTCTGAGGACAGATCCAGGAGGGTGGGAACATACCTTCATCTGAGAGTCACACCTGTTCTTTGTGATGGCCCTGTCCTCCTCCTTCTGTGGTCTGGTGCTTGGTCCAGCGGGAGACAGGTGGACAGTGAGGCTAGTGCTTCTAGCACCATGGTTGTCACACTGCACCCCTCCAGGGCCCATTCACACTGAGGTTTGAGGAGATGTGTGGGGCACAGCCTGTGTGGCCAGGTCAGCATGCCTGAGTGATGACGGGCAGGCACCTGCTTAGCACACGGGAAGAAACTGGAAAGGAGAGCTGCATGGATCTACCTGGGTTCCAATCCTGTCTTTTTCACTTCCTGGCTGTATGACCTTGGGCACGTCACCTAATCTCTTTGGGGGACAATACAGTATATATCTTAAAGGGGTCTGTGATAATTAAATGGGATAGTATATGTAAAAATGCTCAGCATTGTGCCTGCACATAGTAAGTTCTTGCTAAATGTATAATCTTGGAACAATTACTTCTTTGTACCTCAGTTTCCTTGTGTGTAAAATGGATTAGTATTAGTATCAATCTCAAAGAATTATTGTTGGAATTAAATGAAGAAGCCATGAAAAGGTCTTCTTAGAACAGTGCCTGGCATATAACAGGCACTAAACAAACATTCTATGTCACATTAATTTTAGTAATCACAGCAAAAGCAACCACCCTGATGAGGTCACCACTGTCATATTTGAGGAATGGGGTCATGGTGATGGAAGGAGAGGAAAAAAGAAAACATGGCTGCACTTGCAAAACAAGTGTCTAGTCTATGTGAAATCCAGGGACTGACATCTCTGCTCCAGCCTAGTGGTGGGGCACCACTCTCCTACCTGGCACCCACGTCGCCCGTGTTCAGCATGAGGATGCGACGTGTGGCTTGTGTCTGATACACGACAGGTCCAAAGGGAAGATGTTCCTGGTCCAGGGAGATCTCTAAGGCCTGGCAGCAGCCGCTGAGAAGGAAGAGGGGGCGCAGGAGCCCCATACATTCCATGAACACCTCCTCAGAGAAGGGAGGGATACGCTTCTTTGGGGCAAAGACCACGTCCAGCTTAATGACTTCTTTGGGCTTCAGACTGATGTTGTTGAAGGGTGTCAAGGTGATTACCTGGACAGAATGATAGACAACTAGACTCAGAAGTTAAGGGCAAGGAGGCCCCCGAGGCCTTGCTGCTGGGCTGCCACAGCCCTGGGGTCAAATCCCATGCGTGTTCTCTTACTAGATGTGTAATCGTGGGGAAGTTACTTAGGCTTTCTGAGGCTCAGTTTCCTCACCTGTACACTAGGGATAGTACCACTTACCCTACAGTGAAGACTAAGATAATCTATATAAAATGTGTGAGACATAACAGGCACTTGATAAATGCTAAATCTCTTTCCTTCTCCCTTTCTAGCCCATTTTGGACAGCTAGATGTCTCTTGTATTCATAACAGGAGAACTTTTCATTCTTCTTCCCGACTCCTTTGGAGAGGAAATAGTAACTGGGAATAGAAAACACTCAGCACTCCAATGTTTCTCAAGGTGGGGTCCCTGGGCTACTTCCAGCAGACTTCCCTGAGCTTGCAGATTCCTGGGCCCTGCCCCAAGCCAACCAAATCAGAATCTCCGTGGGAGAGCTGGGAACCTGTATTTTCAAAAGTACCCCAGATGACTCAAGAATTCTAAAGTTTGAGAACCACTGCTTGAATTTCTATGGCCTTTTCTTTCTCCTTAGTCCTGGTAAAAATCAAAATCAAAATAAACTGTAGGGAAGCCAACACTTTGTTTATTCTTAAGCCCTCTTTGGCTCAGAGCATGGAGTGGTCAACAGCATGACAAAATCATTTTGATTCTCCTGGAATCCAGATTTCTGGGTTCATGGAACTGGGGTGAACCACCCAGGCCATTGCCCTTAGGTGTCCTTTTGTACCTTGAAGGAACTGGTTCCCTAGAGTCACCTTCAGGCCTAGTAAGCAGCTTAGCAGAGACTGTTTGGCCTTAGACCTTGGGTTCTTTTGGAAAATTATCTATGTGTAGCCAGATTCCAGGAGCAGAAACTTCAGGGGCTGACTACAGGCTGTGTTTTAGGATGTATGGAATGTTCTTGGTGATTCTGTGTCTGTAACCAATGGACCCTGACATCCTGCTCCTGCTTCGGTGTTATCTCCTGAGAAATTAACATAACAATAACCTATATAATCTTCTTTCACTGTCCCCGATTTGAATTGTATCTACTCACAATAAATATATTCTGTTACACTAATTTTTGGTGTTTCTCTAAGAATTTAGGTTTTTGACAACCAAGGAAAGTGGCAGCAGGGAGTGAGATAACGGGCTGAGAAGCTGAAATGGGAAAGTGATCTTAAGAGATTTCTCCAATGTAATGATGTTGGAAGCTGATCTTGAGGTGATGGTGCCAGGACAGGTCACTCTGGCAGCTTTAATATGATCACCTAAAGAGGCAGCATTGGTGAGGCCAATCTGTTAGGGGCCCTGGACCACTGGAGCCGAGGACTTTTATTTGAATTAATGAGGAAAGGGAAGTGACAAGTTTGCTCTCCTTCTCTGGACAGCCAAGTGCACAATGTGGGCCCTGAGATGAGGTGCCTCCTGAGTTTCTAGCTTTGGCTGGCCCCTTGAAGACAATTCTTCCGTATCCTGAAATCTCCAGACAGTCCACAGTGCTCCTGCCATACTGAACCACGTCGAATTTTCCAAAAGCACTGGACCCTTCAGAGCCTACATACCTTTGCCTGGCAGTAATGCTCTTCCCTAACCTATCTGCCTGGAAGACCCCTCTTTATCCTGTAAAAACCCAGTACAGGCCTCTCTCTACTGTGAGGCCCTCCATGGCCCCTTGAGCCCTCCTCCCAGACCCAGGCCTGTTCCATCCCTCCTCTGAGTAGGGCTGTTCCTGATCCACACCCTGACTATGCATTTTCGTGCTGTCTTGGAATTTCTTATGCATCTGTGACCCCAAAAGACTGTGTACTCCACCAGGCCAATCTCTATATCATATTCACCTTAATATTCTCAGCACCTAGCACATATTTACTGAATAAATCCAAGAGTGAACTGAATGAAGGAATGGATACAGCCTCCCTGCCTTGGAATGAAACACATCCAGTGTGCTGTCAAAGGGCCACCCAGACACTGATGATTGTAAGATGAGTAGCAGGTAATCAGGACTGTAGTGTCTCTATCCAGGGAACTTAAGGAGGTGGACAAGCACGATTCTCTCACTGCTGGTGGGAGTGTAAAGTGGGGCAACCTTCCAGAGGCAGATTGGCAACGTGCATTGAAAACATATTCTCCATTTGACCCAACAAGCCCACTTCTAGCAATTTGTCTTGAGCAGAGAGTCATGGATGCACACAAAGGTTCAGATGCATGGATATTACAATGTTGTTTATAACATAAAAAAATTAAAAACATCTGAAATGGCCACAAATAGAGAATTGGTCCATCCCCATAATGGAGCTGTAAATGAACACATGACATTTAATGACATGGAGAATGTTTATGAAATATTGATAGATTACAAAAGCAGTTTTCAAAAACAATACAGATATTTGTAATTTTATTTTTGTAAAAAAAATGCATAGGACAAATACTGGTAAGACAGGCCCAAAATGTTACAGTGGTTATTCTGGGTTTGGGATTAAGGGCAAATTTAATTTTTTTCTTTATGATTTTCTCTGTTTTTCAAATTTTCTACAATAAAGATATACAGTCAGTGGAATCCAGATCTACTGAATCCCATCCAGCCCAGTTCTCTACTTTCTTTTGTTGCCTTTTAGAAGTATATGATCTCTCTACGCCTCAGTTTCCTTATATGTAAAATGAGAATAATGAAAGCATTAACCCCAAACTGTTTTGTGAAGATAAACAGAGACAGCTCATGGAAAATTCTTAGAATGGTCTGGCACACTGTAGGTGCACCATGAGTGTAAGCTGCTAGCCCTGCCATCCTTATCATTGGGAAGCATGAAGAGGCCACTGGGAGCCCAAGCACTGACCTTGGGTTCCTGGAGTTCTGGAATTGAGAACAAGACTGACTGGTTAAATGTGAGCTGGGTAAGACTGTTGTTCATGATGGAAACCGTCTTTTTCACAACCTGTCCTGGCAGAACAGCTCCTAACTTCACAATCCTATTGGATGGATCTAGGACTAAAATCTGTGGGACAAGAAAAAGAGCAGGAAAGAAAGATTAGTTAGTTCATGAGAAAAATAAACAAATATTACACTGTGTCTACCCTGGTGAGGTAAGGAAGGGTGGTTCCCTCTCTTTCGATGCCTGCCTTTTTCATCATAGAGTCAATTCTGACTCATGGTAACTCCATGTGTGTCAGAGTAGAACTGTGCTCCATAGGGTTTTCAAAGGCTGATTTTTCAGAAGTAGCTTGTCAGGCTTATCTGCCTTTTTCATACTGGATGGGCATTTTTGTGTGTAAAATGTCCACTAGACAACACATCACACACAATTAAATAATTACAACTGGGTTAAGAGATATGAAGGAAAAGCCCAGGGTACTTTGAGAGCACGTTGCAGAAGACTGAAGATTTGGGAGTCAGAAGAGGCCTCCCCAAGGAAACCATGTTTACACTGATTGCCAAAGGGAAGGTAGGCTCTAGTTAGTTTAAGAGTCAGGGTGGCCGTGTGGTGGGGGAACACTCTAGGGAGAGTAACAGCCTATGGCAAGGCCTTGAGCTGGAAGGAGTGGACCAGTGAATGCCTGTGGTTGGGAGCTGGGGTGGATTGGAGAAGAAGAGTTTGGAGAGGAAGGAGGTGGCCAGTCTCAGAAGGTCTTGTAGGCCATTGGGGGTGGGAGAGTTGGGCTTTGTTCTGGGAGAAACAGGAAGCCAGTGAAGCCTGAGTGACCCAATCAAATGCATATTTTGTGGGAGTGCTCTGGCTTGCTCCTCTGTGGAGAATGGACAGGAAGAGGACAAGAGAGAAAGCCATGAGGTGATGACTGTGATTTGGACTGGAATGGTGGTAGTAGAAGTGGAGATAACTAGATACACTTCAAGTCTTTGTCTAAGGCACTGGTCTAAATGTTGGCCTGGATCAGACCAAGGTCAAACTGTACCTTACCCTCAGGGTGGTACTAACGCACAGGGAAAAGTTCCTGCAGGTCACTAAACTGTATCCCTCCTCTCCAACTAGCTTTAAATCCAGCCTACATGTTTCCACTTGGTCTAAAAAAGCAAGAGCATCTCCCCCACCAGCCTGTGAGCTGGTGAACACATATTTAAGTCACCACTGGATCTCCCCAAAGTACCCAGCGCTCAATGGGTGCTGAATGAATGAATGAATGAATGAATGAATGCTATCAGGAAAGAGCCTATCTCTGGCTTGGGTCAGACACCCCTGTGCTCTACCATCTCCAAAGTTGCTCCTATGGCTTGATGGGAAGGCTCCTGGGAATACCCTTCTCCCATTTTCTCTTGGTTGCTGAAATGTCCCATTTATTCCTGGGCATCTTGGAAGGTTTTCAGATCTCCCAACCCCCCCAATTAAAATGCAAATACTCCCACCAGATGTGACACCTTGAACATTTACCAGAGTCTGGGAAGAAAGTGATTAGCAGCAGGACTGTCCCACTCCCTCTCTACCAGGGGCTCTTGGGTAGAAGGAATGACCTTAATCAAATATTATCCTAGCGTTTGTTGCTGGCTGGGGAATGCTACTCAATGGGGTATAAAGAAAAGATGTTCTTTAACTGAAACATTTACCTCCACATATACTGCTTAAAACAAAATGTGTCCTAATGCAGAAGTAAAGGATGTTCTTGGGATGCTCTATCTGATAGCCTCAGACTTCTCCAAGAAAAGAATATTTCTCCAGTGCCTGTGATTACCTGTATCCCTTGAATTATTAGTTAAGTCTGCCATTGGATAAGGTCTCTGAATCACTTGAGTTTGATTTGATATCTCGCCCCTTTGTGTTATTACAGATACCACCTCAGTGGGACTGGTTGGCCTCTAGTAGAGCAGCCTGGGAGCAGATGTGCAGAGGAGAGAAGGGTGAGTGTGTTCAGGTGGGCAAGGGCAAGGGTGGCTGGAAGGGCGAGAAGGACAGTGCCAAGCCCGAGGACCCCCCGCCCCGGCAACTGCCCCTTACCTTCATTTCAGTGCCTTTCCCTTTAATTTCAATGATTTGTTGTGAAAGCCCATTTATTTCAAAGGGGATGAGTTCTCGATAAGTGATACTTTCTCGAGGATAGAACGTGATTGGAATCATCAGTGTCTTTCCTGGCTTTATCACTTCAGCGCGGAAGTTCACCTCGAGATGGGCGGTGTTGGTATACAAACAATCTATGCTGGAGAAAAATCAAGTGGAAAGGGCATGAGCTCTGAGGAGGCTGACCCAGAAAGACCTGATTCCTTCCTCTTGCCTCTCTGCCAGGACTGGGCACTGGTGGATGTGCTGCCCTGTCTGCTAGAGTCATAGGATTTAAGAGCTGGAAGGGACCTCAGCAATGATCCACCCTCTCCTCGCCACCATCAAATGATCCCAGATCACACCTTGAGATCCTGGCAGACCAGGTCTCAAACTCAAATCTCATGATCCTTTGCCCTATGCTCCTTTTACTCTACTGATCCTCTCTTTCTTGATAACGCAGCTCATGGGTTTGTACCTCTCATAAGAAGGAAGTGCTTCCAGAAGTGATCTGATGGCAAAGCATGGTAGAGAGAAGTGTGTGTTCTGGAGTTAGGCAGGAGTTTGATCCAGGCTCTACTGCTAACTACCTATGTGACTCTGACAAATTACTTAGCTCATTTCGGCCTCTGTTTTCTCATCTGTAAAATGAGGGTGGTGGTAGCTATCTCATAGGATTGTTGTGAGGATTAAATGAGATACAGTGACTAAAGCAGTCACTAATAGGGCACAGAAGAAACACTCCATAAAGCTGAGCTGTTGTTATTATATCACTAATTACTCAACTAGAAGGGATCTTGAAAGATCATGTCCACCCCACTCCACCTGTGGGTAGAAAGGCACCTAGACCTCTCCATTACAACCTCTCCTTATCTGCCTTATGAAACTAAACCAAACCAAACCTGTTGCCGTCAAGTCAATTCCAACACATAGCAACCCTATAGGACAGAAAACTGCCCCATAGAGTTTCCAAGGAGTGGCTGGTGGATTCGAACTGCTGACCTTTTGGTTAGTAGCCTAGCTCTTAACCACTGTGCCACCAGGGCTCCTATCTGCCTTATAGGTATTTAGAGAAGGAGTCTAGCTAGACCAATTGATAGAATTCAATGATTTAAATAAAGTAAGACTTATATTAAATCATATAAGAGTGTAGGTTAATAAGATTTTTAATTAGTATTTAAAAATTAACTGGTATTTTCGTAACAATTTAATATTCAGAATAATGATAATAATAATGACAATAGCTGTTAACAACAATGAATATTTCCTATGTCCCAGGCACCATTCTAAATACTCTCTCTTGTTGTTGTAGGTGCCATGAACTAATTTAACCCTCATAATAGTCTTGTACAGGAGGTACTATTATTAGCCCCCATTTCAGACAAGGTGGCAGAGGCACAGGAAATTTACAAATTTTTCCCAAGATTACATAGCTAGGGAAGAGCTGGGATTTGAACCTACACCTGTGCTATCCAGGGGACACATGTGTATTTAAATTAAAATCAATTAAAACAAAACAAAATTAAAAATTCGGTTTTTCAATTGCACTAGCCACATTTAAAGTGCTCCACAGCCACATGTAGCTACAGACTACTATATTGGATGGTAGAGATATAGAACATTTCCATCATTGCAGAAAGTTCTACTGCAGGCTACTGATCTAGAGGGCTTTGAGTGAACACAGGTCTCTGGGCCAGTCCTTGGAGATTCTGTTTCATTAGGTCTGGAATAGGGCCTAGAACCTGGACTGAAGCATTCCACACAGGGGTAGTGCAGAGTTGTTGGGTTTGAATCAGAAGGCTTGGGCTCAGTACAGATCTGCCATTTATCGCAAGGTCACTGGTCTGAGAAGTTTACTTTTTCACCCTCTGAACCTCAGTGTCCATACGAGGAAAGCAAATGGAAGCCATCAAACCCCTCATCAGGTCATTTGGCATTGCCCTACCCACTTTAAGAAGAGGATTTTTAGCAGAGTAGCTCAAGGCATTCCAAGTATTAGTGATGGGAAAAGGGGGCATCCAAGATTCATGCCCACCTCTTTCCCACAATCCTCTTTTCTCTGCCTTGGCAGGAGTTCACCTGTGTGGAGCCCCCAGGAGCTGTAAGATCATCTGGAGGCTCTGTGAAGCCTGCTTACCTCATGGACGTTTCTTCCTTGTTGGTGACAGCCAGGATTTGTTTGTAGGAGGGCATCCCTGCTTGGTAAATGAAGCAGGTCCCAAAGTTGTAGCTGGTAAAGGAGAAATGCACGGCTGGGCTCACGGAGCAGCCTATGATGCTGCACGTAAATGTTGGGCCGTGGCTGATCTGTGGGGACGGAGGCAGGGGCAGTGTGATTAGGGCAAGTGGGAGGAAAGGGCACTAAGTACTTGGGTAAAGAAGGGAGGCAGTTGGGTGCTTCAAAAAAATACAAGTCCCAGGGCTCCAGCCTCAGAGAATCTGAGAGTAGGTCAGAATGTTGTTTATTTAATAAAAGCAAAGTGGGTTACTCTGCAGTCATATCCTTCCTTAGCTCTGGCTTCGCTCCTGCAGCACTGATTCAACTTCAAGGCTAAGGACTGAGGCAGACACTGCTAGCTATGACCCAACACCCACCCCTCCTGGGTTTTTTACTAACAGTACTCTGATTGGCTGCCATCCTCACTGCAGCTAGAGATGACCATGGGACATAGTTCTGGCAGGTATTCACCAGGTACCTCAATCATGCATGAGACTTTGTACTATAGATAGTGGGACAGTCTTTAGTATGATTACTCGCCAGTAACTTCTGGCTGAGCGGAAAAGACGAGGAGCACGCAGGAGAATTAACTTCTCAAGACAGGATGCTCTAAGTGCTTTCAGTGTTTGAACAATGTTAAATGGTCTCACTTTGATTCTGAGTTCCAGGCCCTTCAAGACACACTTCTTAAATGGTTGGAAAGACAAGGTGGCATGTACACTCTGCCCCACATCCACAGTGCCATCAACAGGTGAGAATTCCAAGTCCTGCAGCAGGGCTTTAGAGCCAGACAGCTCCGTCTGGAAGCTGAAGTTGAATTTTCCAGTGTTGATAAAGCTTAATTCACACTGGACACATTCATTTAACTCCACCTGAGAGACAAAGAACAGAGTATTATGTTGAGTGAATGCAAACAACAGTTCCATTCTCTGTGGTCAGGCTATGTAACATGTTATGGACTGAACTGTGCACCCCCCTGCCCCCAGAAAGTTATGTTGAAGTCCTAACCCCTGTACTCATGAATGTGTGACTCTGTTTGGAAATGGGTTTTCTTTTGTATGTTAATTAGGTTATACCAGAGTAGGGTGGGTCCTAAACTAATCACTTCTGAGCAGTGTCTTCTAAAAAGAGCAGAATAGACATAGAGACACACATAGTGGGAAGATAGATGCCATGTGAGGACGGTCTACATACAAAGGAACATTAAGGACTGTCAGCAGACACCAGAAACTGAGAGAGGCCCGCAGACTCAACATGGGTGAGATTCTTATTTGAGAAATACATTTGAGAGAATAAATTTATGTTCTTTAAAGCTACCCACTCTTGGTATTTTTTGTTATGGTAGCAGTAGGTCACTAAGACATAATATGTTGAGGAAAAATATCTTTTGGGAAATAAGGATCTCGGGATGTTAAGAGTTGAGTATCATTAGCTTAATGCAATTAGATATTCCAGCAAGAGCTATTAACTGTTGAGGGGCACTCATATTTCAAAAGTAACATGGTAGTTTCATTCTTAGAACTCTCGTGGTAGTCAGACATATTTTTAACTGTTTAATGTAAGCATTCATCTCTCCACACCCTGAAAAATAAAATAAAAAATTCTTCTCATCATAACTATACATATTCTGGATGGAGCTGTTCCTGACATATTCCTGTTCTAGTCTCCTTGGCATTTGAAACAGAAAGCTCCACTAATATTCACTCATACCACCTTCCCTAGCCAGGGCAGAAATCGAGAGACATAGTGAGGCTCTCTTACACCTTTACCTCGTAAAAGTTGATGATACTGGTCTGGTTGGGCGTCAAGAGAGTGACCAAGCCAGTCCTGTCCTTGCATCTAATCTCCACATTCATAGTGTAGCCCTCAGCCTTGACATTTAAAGTCAGAGGATGGGCTTTCCTTTTCACATTGCAGATCAAATTAAAGTTTACATCTCCTTCATGCTTAGGCGTGAAGAAAATACCAATAGGCAACCTGTTTGGGGAACAAGACAGAAGATTAGTTGACTGGGCCAAATTGCTAAAACCTGCTAAAACATACAGGCTCAATGGATTAGCAGATACGCTATGAGGAAAAGGCACTATAACCCCAAATTACGATGAACATTTGGTTTACCAGAGAAGGTGAGACATTGCTTGGTGGATTCACAAATACAGTAGATAGCAAAGAAAAGAATACAAACACAAGAGAAAATATTACAAACGGGATTAGAATTCTCAAACCTACACAATTCATCAGGAAAATAAGCAATAGGGAATAAGTAGGACAGAGAAGGGAACTGCTAACATCTAAACTTTAGAGTTAGAACAGACTTTAGAAGTGGGGGACTTTAAGGGAGACTAATTCTCCTGGCTGGCAGGCCTGGGACCCCTGCCATTTTGGGAAGGAACAGTCCTGGGGATTTCCTGTTTCTTTACCTGGACAGTGGTGGGACCCAGCCTTCCATGGGAGATACAGTCAGGCTGTTGCTGAAGCCTTCAGAATATCGAGAGTTGTCCTGGAAAGCAAAACTGAACCCCTCCTCCTCCTTGTTGATGATCTGCACAGTTTCTCTGGCTTCTCTACCTGTGGAGGAAACAACGGCCCTCAGCGCAGTCCTCTAGCCTGCTCTCTGAAGTATCTGAACAGATACTGCCCCACAGGCAAGAGGAAGCCATCCTAGAAGAGATTCCCCAACTTCTTTTCTCTCTTCTTCCAAACTCCTCAGACTTTGATGGCCTCTCTTCCATCCCTCTGCTCTACAAGTGACATTCCCCCCACCCCTCCCTAGGGGGACTCCACATCTTCCTCCTAGAACTTTACTCCATTAATTGCCTGCTCCTGTTGGGTGGCTCCTCAGCCTTGTCACAGCTCTCCTCTATTCTGATGACACTGTTTTCTCTCCTTCTTCAGAACCAGGAATTGTAAAGCCTTCCTGCTTTTGTTAATGACTGGGGTCTTCACCTTCCCCGATTGGCCCCTGAATTCTTCCCATACCTCTGTAAATCATCCCAGCATTGAACTCTTTGGAGTTAGGCCTTGGTTATACTGCGAGTTTACTGCCAGAGCCCTAACTAATATATCTCCCCCAACTATTTTGCCTTTTCTCACTTTCCTTAGCCATTGTAGAGCATTTATTTTCTCATATAAACTTTAGAATCATTCTACCACTTCCCCACAAAATCTTGTTGGGATTACGGTTGCCAGATTTAGAAAATAAATATTTTTAGTATAAGTATATCCCAAATATTGCATGGTATATACTTGTACTAAAAATGATTTGTTCTTTATTTGAAATTTAAATTTAATTGAGTATCTTACCTTTCATTTGGTAACTCTGGTTAGGATTTTAATTGGAACTTGATTAAATCACATTTAATTTTGGGAGAATTGACGAATGTTCAGGTCTTATTTGGGGCATTTTAACAAGGTTTTATAGTTTTCTTCATTATCAGTACTAGTGCTGACTCCCTTTTATGGTGTTTGCAAGGGAGGGCTAAGAGGAACCAATATCACCTACTTTCAAGACTTTAACTATCATTGCTATGCAAATATCATTTATATGGATGCTGACACAGAGAGAACTCTTCTCTAGGAAGAATCCTGTTTTTGATAAGCCACTTTGGGTAGAGGGTGTAAGCCCCTAAGGGGTCTCAATGGCTAGATTGCTTGATTGCTTTCTAAGCAAGGTGAGCTGGGTTAACTGCTAGGTTTTGTTTTACTGAGAGATGTAGACAAGCTAAGGGCCAACGCTAAATTCCTGGAGACAATAAGAGATATTGAACAGTTGGCATGGAGTGAAGGGTAGGGAAAAAACGAGGGATAAGGTGACTTCCACTTAGGAGAGAAAGTCTAGTATTAAAATGTTTTATTGTGCAGTGTCCAGTATAAAACCTTTTCCCTGTCTCCCCACAAAATCTTTAGCAACTTTTTTTTTATTGCTAATACATTATAGAATTGGTTCTGTTCTGGTGTTACGCTAAAGGATTCTGACCCAACTCAAGTTTAGTACAGGATGAGAGTTAAGGCTACTCATGGAGGTCTGCCAAATTTGGAAATAATCTTTCTGCTTATCTGTATATCTATTTATCACCCCCTGATCTTCATTTCCAACTGCCCATTTGACTCCTCCACCTTAATGTTCTACCATCAACATGACTGTCTCATACCAAATTCTTCATCTTTCTCTCCAAACCAGTGACTATTTACATTAATGGTACCAGTTTTCCTGATGCATCTCCAAATCTCAGAGCCAATTTTCGACTCCCCCTTCTTTGGTTCTATATTCATCCTTGCCCAGTTCTGTAGATTTCACCTCCAAAATGCTTCTTGAATCATTCCCTTCCTTCACATATTCCCCATCTCCCTACTACTGCAGGCCCTCAGTGCTCCCCTCCTAGAATGCTGTAATGCCCTCCTAATTTGCCTCCTATCTGTGGTAGAGACTTCTAGGGCTCACCCATATCTGGTTTTCCTCTCCTTTGTTCATCAACAGACCCACAGGAGTAGTACACTTCACTACCCCCCTGCAGTTAGGTGGGGCCATGGGATTGTTCTTGCCAATGGATACACATCTCTTCTAGGCCAAACCCTGTAATTACTGGTGTGAGACCCTTCAGCATACTCTTCCTCTGCTGTGGTGACCAAGGAGGCCACATGTTGTAGATGGTATAGCCACAAGACGGTGGAGCTCCCATTAGCCTGAGGCTCCTAGTGACTATACCTTAATGCAGTGAGAGATAAACCCTTGTTGTGTTAAGGTATTGGGATTTCAGAGAACTAGCTTATTCTGATTGATAAACTACAACAGATCCAATATATTACAAATTTAATCCATCTCACTAAGCTTCCTAAAACAATTCCAATCACATCTCTTCTCAGCTCAGAATCCTTCAGTGGCTCCCTATTGCCTACTGAAGCACAAGGCTTTTCATGAGCTGGACCTACCCACCTTTCCAGCCTATATGTATCCTATGTCAGCTCAAACTGTTTGCTCTTCCTAGACTATGCCTTGCCGAGTTCTACCTCCTTGCCTTTGATTATGCTGCACCCCAAACTTGGAGCACTGCTGTGGATACTATTTCTTACCCAACAGCCATTCCTGCCTCAATTTCCTAGTAATAGAACCCTGATTTGTTCAGGAAGATGGAAGAGAAAAGCTTTTGTCATTTCTCTCTTTTCTTTCTGCCTTAAATGTGGTCCTGATGTCTAGTGCCTTCGCAGCCATCTTGTGACCATGAAGTGACACATAACAGTGAAAAGGCCAAGAGGGTTAGCGATGTTGTCCCTAACATCATTTAAGCTGCTGAATTAAGGCCAGTAGTTGCCTTTCTCCAGACTTCTTATTTGTGATTAAAAAAAAAAAAAAAACAACCTTTTATTTAAGTACTCTTAGTAGGTTTTTTTTTTTTTTTGTTACAGCAAAATACATTATTACCTGACATAAATGCCCCTTACCTCTGTTTATTAAAATCCTATCTTTCAAGGCCATCTCAAACTCCACCTTTTCTATTAAATCATCCCTGGTTTCACCCAAACTGCACATGATCTTTTCTTTCTTTGAAACTTTACAGCCCTGTGTACTCTTGTGCTTCTCTTTCTCTCCCTTGTTTTTTGGTCTTATGTATAATTGTCAACATCCCATCCCCACCCGCTATACTGTAATCTCCTCAAGGTAGGGACTCTATCTTAGTCTCCACTGTACCTCTTAGGGTGCCTGTAGAGTAAACTCTCACTGTTTAATGAATAGAACTCATTCCACAAACTGAATTGAACACTTACTATGGATACTTTCAAATCTTGCTGTTGGGAATATGAACTGCTATAATTCTAAGGGAAAATAATTTGGTGATACCTATTAAAATGACAAATACACAGATCCTTTGATCCAGAAATCCCACCTTTTGAAATCTCACCTATTGATAGAGGATACGTGTACAAGGATGTTTATCGTAGCATTACTTGTGTGGCAAAAAAACTGAGAACAATCTTTGTGCTCCTCGGTTGGTGAATTATTGAAAAAATTTTGGTATATCCATACTATGGATTACTAGAGTTTTTTTTTTTTTTTAAAGTTCTTGCCCATAAATATGTGGTTTATAGGGTGATTAAAAGAAAAATGAAGTAAGATTATTCTATAAAATTCAGCCTATCATGTTTAATTAGTATGGAATTTTATGCCTTAAAAAAAAAGTTAATGCTACATGTATTTATTTGGCAATTGTCCACGATATTTTTAAAAGTTTAAATTAATGCAGAGAAATGTATATGGTATGACTGCATGTATTTGTTGTTCAAAAAATTCATAAACTTAATACACTTCCCCACCAACCTATATGTATGAGTATGAAAAATGTATGGAAATAATATACATTACTTTAATGGAAAGGGAAGGATGGAATACGATGAGTGAGGACAGATTATTATATTTTCTTTATAGGATGCTGCATTGACTAACTATATTATAAAGAATATTATTTTTATAAATAGAATAAAGTATTAAAAAGTCCTTTGGCTTTAGTTAGTTGTCTTTTCTCCTACCTTACAAAATTGGGAATTTTCCTGGTTACCACTAATTTTAACTAGTGTGGACATTTACATGTATTTAGCTTACACGTAAGGTAGCCTGGGGGGCGCAAATGGTTAAGCACTCTACTATCCGCAGAAAGGTTGGCAGTTGGAACCCACCAGAGATGCCTCAGAAGATAGGCTGGTGATCTGCTTCTGAAAGGTCACAGCCTTGAGAACCCTATGGAGCAGTTCTACTCTGCACACTTGGGGTTGCCACGAGTTGGAATTGACTCAAACGCAACTAACAACAACATACACACACAGATATCACATCCATGTGCTAGATTTGCAGAGTTATAAGGAATCTGGCAATCACTTCCTTTATTTCCTTCAGGTCTCTGCTCAAATGTCACCTTCTCTGGCTACTCTTATCAAACTTCACTGACTATTGGCATTCCTTATTCCCCCCACCTTGCTTTATTATTCTCAAGAGCACCTATCAACCTCTGACATACTATAAATTTCACTTATTTATTTTTTTGTTGTCTGCCTCCTGTTACTAGAATGTAAATATCAGGAGGGCAGGAACTTTGTGTTTTGTCCATTGGTGCATTCCCAGCCCACAGACGAGTACTCGGTTCATATTAGAGGATAAACAATATTTACGGAACTGAATAAATGTGTGAAAGAATGGTGGTAAAATCTGACCACTGTGGCACAGACTAAGAAGCAGACAAATAGAGCCCATACTCTAGGGGCACAAATAAATCAGGATGAGGCTGACACAAGACTCTGGAAATGAACTTAGTCTATCCAGGCATTAAAGGAACCTGCCAACTAGGAAATTTAATTATACAATAAATACAATCTGTAACAAGGCTCCTAAATTTCCTTAGGTTATTAGTGTTTGGATTTAAAAGGTATTTGATGAAAATTATATTGAGAGATAAATACTTTGTGGCTTTCTGAAAGGCAATAAGGCCCTGACATGCTTCTGGAAGGTACCAGGAACTGTTCTCCACCCACATCTGCTCCCAGAGCTCACTGCTGGGCCCCCTCATCCAGGTCATGTCAACTTTAAATATAAACCTTACCAATGAGGAGACAACTGAAGTTGAGGTGCGAATGGTCCAGAGAGATGAGAGGGTCAGTGGTTTTGCCTACCAGCAGGAAAGGAACTTTGATGTTATGTTCTGGGATTAAGAAAGTCCAGAATGATTCCGTGATGTCTAGATGGAAAGGCGTGAACTGGAACACAATCTAAGGAGACAATTTGGAAACGAATGGTAAGAGATCCTTCTATTTGTTTACCCCATGTGCCCTTAGAGCTCTGTCAGCACCAGGGCCATGATGGCTGACATTACCATTTATCTCTACCCTTGTACGAACAGTGTCTGTAAGGGTATGTAGGCGTGGCTGCACCAGCAACAGCAATGCCTGTTTGCCCTACCCACATGCCCACAGCTTCTGCTGCCTAAGTTGCCATATTGTGTGCCATGTGTTTCGATGACATGGTTGTGCCACAGTCAACTAGACCGAAGAGTTGGCACCCATCTCTAGGAAAGACAATCCACATCCTTGACAACATCCTGGCACACAGCCCACATGATCAGCTGAGTCAACCAGATTTCCACCTCAGAAATTTGGAATGAGAAAATCAAGTGACTGGGCCAGCTGGCAGTTGAGCTGATGGTAAAAGATTCCATGAGATTGAGTTGGGCCATGGCATGTCATAATCCATTTGCTAAGTGAAGTTACAAAGGAAGCCCCCCAGAAAAAAAAAATTAAAATAAAATAAAAACAGAAGAAGTAGGCATAGAATGGAGTAGATGAGTAGGGAGAAGTGGAGACCTGAAAGGAAAGCCCAATCCCAAAAGCTACCCCAGGCCCCTTTTCTTTGAGCTAACTTGAGTTAGTCCCTTTGCAACTAATCAGACTTGACTGGAAGAACAAATACAACCAATCAGACCTGATTGGAAGATCAGTGGCATTCAGCCAGTAATGAACCAAACCCATGGCCTTCCAGTCGATTCCGACTCATAGCGACCCTACAGGACAGAGTAGAACCGCCCCACAGAGTTTCCAAGGAGTGGCTGGTGGATAGAACTGCCAACCTTTTGGTTAGCAGCCAAGCTCCTTAACCACTGCATCACCAGGGCTCCATAGAAATGACCAGACAGGTAAAAATGCATGGTCCATGTCAGCTTCAGGGGATGATGTAGGAGGGGTGTTCTGGAGGTTTGTGTTACCTCAATGATGCTACCATCACCCAAAGACCAGCATGACCCTGGATGAATGGATTCTGCCACTTGCCTCACCTGGAATCACAAAGCATCTTTGATATATTCTGTGCTGTGGAGGGGGCTAGATCCAAGTAGGACTGTGTCTGCAGTGTACCCAGCCCCTGTATCCTATCATGCTTAACTGATGGCCTGCATACTGACAATATGCAGAAGTCAAAAACAAGTAGAGAACCACACCTATGTTTTGTTCATAAAACATTGAATTATCTACTAACATGTAAAAATGGGGAGATTCACATAGAAATCTGGAATTTTGGTTTCTCCTGCAAAGTTTGGGAGAGTTGGTAATCTGTGCCTGTGTGCCTGCGTGCCTGCGTGGTGGTCATCTGCAGAGAAGTCCTATGGCTTCACCAAGAGTTCTGGTGTCCAGCATTCCCTGTCATTGTCCCTCTGACTTGCTTCATTTATTTGTATGACCTTCCTGAAGGCATTTGGCTTTGTAGTTTCTGTTTTGTGGGTTTACATCTGTAGTCAAGATTCTCTGTAGAACTTATTAGACATGGGGCCCACAGATCTGTTTTGGCCGTCAAGTTAATATTTCTTTAAGCTTGACCCCCTACCCAATATTACTATGTAAACATTTAGAACTAAGTCATGGGACAGCAACACCACTTTTCTGTTTTATCTTTTGGCCTGACTAAGTAAAACCACATCTGTCTCTTTTCACTGCTATCAGCTCCTTGGGCAAAAATAATTCTTTACTTCATGCTGCTGTCTGTGTTCTAGAGTCTCCATGCATTGGTGTCTAGCTCCCCTTTCCTGCTTTAATATTTTCAACTTTTTAAACTGTATACACTAGAGGTTTTTGTTTCTCCATGGCCAGCTGAGAAAGCTCTGGTCTGTCTTATTCATCAGGATTGCCTAATGCATATGGTAGTCACTCAGTAAATACTAATTGGATGAAGCACCCTTCGGCTGTTCTCCGCCTATGGTCTATGACACATTTGCTACACAGAGAGGGCCAGAATGATTTAAACTCTGGGTTGAGTGGTTGTACACACCTCAGCTTTCTTTTCAGGGTGGATGAAGCCCTTCTCTGTAAGGCATGTGAAAGCTGGAGGGTTCTGGAGACTTTCAACTTCATCAGAGATCCAAGAGAAGGAGTAGGTGCTACTGGTCGGGTTCATTATTGTGAAGGTCCTGGCCAAGGAGGGAAGAATTGACAGTGGAGAGTGAGAGAGGGGTTGAGGATTAGGAAAACTTTCTCAGAAGCTGGTCCTAGTGCAGTGGACTGTCTGGGGGTCAGAACTGTTCTGAGCTCTTTATTACTGTAGAAATGAAAACTCCATCTCATCTGGGGATCCAAAGTATGGCTGGGATTTTGGGCTTTGGAGTAACAATGATGCTAAGGGCACTTCCTTTCCAATGCTCCTCTGTGGTCAAGGTGGTGTTTAGAGATTGTATTTTTATAGCTTCTAAATTTTCACTCTCAGTTCAGCTTCCTTAATTTAGCAGTTCTCTAAAGCCAAATTTCTAAAATTCAGGTCAAACCCCAGGATCTCAAGCCTGCTTCTAGGAAATCAGTCTAGCTTTCATATCTGAAGTTTTCCTTTGAGTTCTTTAGAAGGATTGACTGATATGAACCCAACCAATGCAAATCTAAGCAACTCACCGGAGATTCTTCCCACCTATGCCCACAGTGGTGAACTCAATCACTCGGGTGTTCGGATCCACAGCCCCACCACTAGGTCCTCGGAGCTCTGGGTTGCGCCGATGACCGCTGATGTAGTCTGAGTCTTTCAGGTCAAAATGGCAGACAGGTAAGAAGCTTCGCCCTTTCACTACCAGGACTGGGCCTTGTTCTCCAGGTGGCAGGTTGGGAATCCTGAGAAGAGAAGGTTATTTTTATTTATTTATTTCTCACTCAGTTGCTGCTTCTGTAGTTAGTTGGAAAGGAATATTACAGCCACAGAATGTGAGCTCCATGAGAGCAGAGGTTGGGTCTTTCTTGGTCAACACCATGACCTCAGCACCTTGGACAGTGCATGGTACATAGAAAGTGCTCTTTAATTAAATGTTGAATGGATGAATGCATGCATGGACTGAATATGGGGAACCTGAATTATGGTTCCTTTTGTGTCCCTGACTATGACTGCAAATTACATCCTCCCTCAGTGGTGAGAAAATCTTCCTGCTGTGAAATGAGCACAGAGTTTTACCCTCTGGGACCTCACATAGGCATCTGGTGGGATATGAAAACTGGCCCAGAAATAGTAAAAAATTATCCTGAGCTCCTTGGAGGAGATGAACTGGATGTAAGCAGACTCCTGGCCCCAGGACCCAGCTGGGATGGCTCAGGTGTGGGAGGGGTTCCTGTGGTATGATTGGTGGGACTCCCAGAGGCTATGATGGCTCTCATAGGTCTCTGCCACTCTAACCATCATTCACAGAATTTCTCTGTAGGGTAGGTGCTCTCCTTGGAGCCCTCCTGGGAATGAGTACTACATCAAGTACTACTCTTATTGTTAAATGTTACTGGATTAGCTTTTGTCTGAATGGGCCTGAGCATCTTGTAAACCTCACTTATTTATGTACCTGTTCTCCCACTGCCTAATGCTTCCTGTGCTTACTGTGTGCCAGGTACTGTTCTAAGCTCTTTACTTAATTCATTTAATCCTCACCATAACTCTCCGAGATGGGTATTGTTATCTCCATTTTATATATGAGGACATTGAGTCTCAGAGAAGGTACAAGAAAGATTTTCCAAGTCCATGCTTGCCCAAGGAGCAGAATCCACCTGGTTTTCTGCCTGTTACTCAGAGTAATCTGGTGTGTCCGGGAAGGGGGAGGTGGGCAGGGAGAAGTCTAGAGAAGGTTGTTGCACAGAATAAAGACCAAAGTCTCCTTGTTCTCCAAAGGCTGGCCCTTTATATCTTTCCAAAGGGAAAAGTGAAACTTTGGGCTGTCTTTGTGTGTGTGTGTGTGGGGAAGGGTTAGGGATTGAAAGAACAGTAGGGGGAGAAAAGAACTGCAGAACTTTGTCCCTGAAAAGATGGGAGGTTCTGGGGAGCATGTTTTCTTACTGGCAGAAAAGGTTACTCTCAAAGTCTCCAACTTCCAATGGGGAAAATTTCACTTTGAGCTTCTGATGTTTCCCCACAGGCACAATGCCTGAGGGGGGATCCACACAGAAGGGTGACGGAAAGCTGTCGTTCCAGTGTTCCATGGCACTATCCAGAGAGCTGCCCGTGCGCAGTGTGCCCTGGCTAAGCTGATCCTTATTAGAGGAACCTGGGGGCAGACAGAGAGCAGATGTTCCCCATTTGCAGTGAGACCTGTGGGAGCAGTGGAGGCAGCCCACTCACAGGTCTCTGTGGGCTCACCTCTTGTAGCAGGTATACTTAACCTGGGGCACGACAGGTAAGGAGTTGGCTCAAATCTCTCAAAGATGATTCTTGAAAAACTTCTGTTAATTCCATAATGTTTTCAAATTTGTTTCCTTTTGTTTTGTTTTTCCTGTGACTCAAGGGGGCAGATTAAGTAGGTGTCTGTGGATGGATTTTCTGTCTTAGAATAATAGGCTGTGGACATAGTTTTTGGAGAATCATTGCTCTACAGTGGGGGTTAACAATCTTGGATAGGTTCAAAAGGTCTGTGGATCTCCAAAATTGTAGTAATCATAATAACGAATATTTGCCTACCAAATGCTGAGCCCTCTACTAAATGCTTCATGCATAGTAACTGCAAACTTGGATGTGGGTGTATTTCCTTGGGGAGAGGGTTCACAGCTTTCATTGCTTCTCCAAGGGGTCTGTAACCCCCAGAAGGTTAAGACCTATTATCTGTGAGAGAGAGTAGTGGCCTAGTGGGGGACCTAGGGCCAGGCTCCAGGAAGGCAAGGCTAGTTCTGGAGTCTCTTAGGCTCATTGGGCTTTGCAGACACCATGAGGCCCTGCTTTCTGTGAGTTACTTAGGAGGCCATCTGAGCAGCACTGGCTTCTTCATGACCAAGGTCCTTCTACTAACGGGGACTCAGTTCAAGCCCTTGGTTTTATGTGTCATTGCATTTACCTTGGTTTTCTGGCATTGCAAAGCTGACAGCCTTCCCAGTCTCTTCTGAGACCCAGCTGAACTCCAGCTGCACATTTCCTGAATTAATCAGATCAAGCCTGCAAATATATCAGGGATGGACTTGAGAGACATGCTGCAGGTGATTTTTGTCCTGTCTGCACACCATCTATACTGTTACTTACTTTTTTTCTTTAAGTCAGTCGCTTTGTTTCTTAAATATTTTTAAAAGGCAAGTTTATAAGCAATTTTATCTGAAAGCATGCATTTGATATATTAGTTATACTACCTTCTAAAACACACAAATATATATATTTGTATATAAAAATATCCCAGTGTTTAGCACTTGAAATCATCTTGTGACCCCTGTACTCTATGAAACTATGCAATGAGCCCTCAGTGTGAATCCCTGTCGTCCTGGAGTCAGCCTGTTCATCTGAAAAACTTCCCTGAGAGAGGAAACAAAAACTATTTTACATGACAGTGTTTCCCTTAGGTACAAATTCGGAAGACCCTCCCTTCCTGAAATTACCTCCCACCAGAAACAATGTCCTGGTGATCAGAAGCCATTTTACCCCTGGCTGAGAAACAGACTTGGATGTTAGTTGCTTTGAACTCAAATTCTGAATCAGCTGAGCCTCTCTTTGCCTCCATCTTCCCTGCTCTAAGACAAGAACAGGGAGCAAGAAACCTTTTCTCTCACAACCACAGCAAGAGGATGAGGCCTTGGTACAAGAAAATGAAATATATGCACATGCTCTTCTCGTCTTAGGGGAGCAGTAACAGTTGAGAGTTTGGTGAGGAGTAGGTCTAGAATGGGGTGTAGGGATTAGAGTTCCATGGTCCGATCCAGGTAGACCACATAGGTATGCCTGAAATCAAGTGCTTTGACCACAGGGGTTTGTGATTATTGTGTGGATTTATGAGCACTGATCTTTATCCTAGGGAAGAGAAAAATTTTATAATGTGGAGAAATCTCAGTGGCACAGAGGACTTTTCATAAAAAGTGTACTTTGTTAGCCAGGGGTTGGCAAATGTTTTTGTGAAGGGCCAGAGAGTAAATATTTTTGACTTTGTGGGCTATACAGTCTCTGTAGCAACTACTTAATTTTGCTGTTGTAGCATGAAAGCAACCACAGATGATACATAAACAAATGGGTATGGCTGTGTTCCAATAAAATTTTATTTACAAAAACAGGGGGTTGGCTGAATTTGGCCTATGGGCCATAATTTGCCAACCCCTCCCTTAAGTAAAATGTCCATCAGTAGAAGATCATACTTTCTGACTTACATCTTTTGGTTCTATAACACTTACAGAGGACATTTAAAGTGCTTTCAACGAATGCAAAATCTCTTAAAAAGATTTACAACTAATGATAATTTTACAAAAAAGAAAGATCAGTGGTTTACTATTTTGTGTTTGTAATTCTCAAAAAATAGTTACAGACCTCCTCTCTATCTGTCTTTGTATATGTAGCTCTTTCTGTTTCTCTTACTTCTTCATCTGGTTACCTCCTATTTGTCCTCCAAAATTCAGCTTGGGCACCAGCTTGTCTAGAAAGCCTTTCCTCGACATGCTGTCTCTCCTGTATCTTGGTCTGTTTTAGGTTTTCTTTTGTTATATGCATAGAACACCACCATGCTACAACCATTATTTCACCCATTTCTACCCACCCCCCAACCTTGTTCCCAGACTACGAACTCTTGGAGGACAGGGCTCATGACATCTTTGTATCCCTGCATCTGAGTGTGAGTAAAGGGGTAACATAATCCTTTCTCCTTCTCAAAGACAAATCTGACCTTCAATCAACTTCCTAGTCCCGTTCCTCTGGAAACCTGATATAAGAGAAATGTCAACTGTATTATTAAGCAACACTGTTTATAGTAAAAATGACCCCTGATTGGTAAATCACATCTGGACTGGAAGAAACTATGAGTACTTGGAAGGAAGCCATAGCTTTGGGGTTCTCTGAGTGTAGTGTAGTGACTCTTATAATTGGGCATGCCCCTGGCAGGGTACCTGAGAGATGTGTCTATGGGATGGTTATGAGAAATGTTGGCTTCTGTTGGGCATGGTGCTTCTAAACCAAGGTGGACCTTATGCTCACTAGTGTGGATATTGTCTGAGCTGTCTCCTGGGAGGGTGGCAATGAGAATAGTTCCTGGGGGGCTGTCTGGACTACTCCAAGGGTTATTCCCACTGAAGAGGACTGCCTAATGTAACCCCCCTGGTGGGATTTGTTTTATGGCCTATATCCTGATGTCAAGTGTCGTCTTCAATAGCTTTGTAAGTTTGGATGTTTCATTGGACCCAAAAAGATCCCCTGGTGGGTGCTTTAGTATGCTATGATGCCTGGCATATACTGAAATAGAAACTGAATAAATGTTTGATAAGTGAGTGAACGAATGATGGAATAAAAGAGCTTTTCTAATAAGTGTTTTGAGGCTTTTGATGACTCACTCAAACACTCGGGTCTGGTAAACCAGTGTTTCCTTAAAGCATACATCACTCGTCTGGCACCGGTATGAAGCAAAATCCACATTGGCACTGATCTGTAGCTGCAGTTCTCGGTAGTTTTCTTCCAGTATGGTATGGGCAGGCTCAGGATCTGTCTCTATCACCTGTAACAAAGGCAGCCATGTTCTCAGTGATGCAGAGCCAGCCCCTTCACAGGGATAATGAGGGGATAACACAGTGCTTTATTCTATCCATGCCAAATAAAACCAATCCAGAATAAGTTATTAAGGCAAACCTAAATTATTTCTAGAATGGAAAAGGAAGAAATTCAATAACAAGTTATTGGGAATATTAGGACTGCACTGGCATAAGTTTTGGAATCAGATGGACTCTAAAAAAGGTAGAAGAAAGGAAATCATAAAGATAGAAACAGAAATTAATGACATAGAAAACAAACCCCACACAACAAAGCCAAAAGTGATTTATCTGAAAAAAATAAAAACCTTTGGTGAGACTTAGCAAGAAAAAAAGAGAAAATACAAATAATCAATATCAGGAATAAGAAGGTGGATATAACCAAAGACTGTACAGATTTAAAAAGATGAAAATAAAACATTATGAATAATTTTATGAAAACTTGTTGAAGGACAAATTCCTAGAAAAAATAATTTTATAAAGTTGACTCAAGGAGAAATAAAAACCCTGAAATGTCCTGTAACTATTAAAGAAACTGAACAGTAGTAAAGAGATCTAAACAAACAAACAAACAAAAAACTAACTAAATGTAGAAATAAAACTTGTTAATAGAAAAGACAAATTAATATTATAAAAATGTCAATTCCGTCAACTCCAGACCTTCTGGAGCCACAGTGGGTGGATGAACCCCTGAAACTATTGCCCTGAGATTATCTTCAAACTTTAAACAAAAAATATTCCCTGAAGTCTTCTTAAAACCAAATACTAGTTTAGCTTAACTAGTAAAAAATGTCTGCCTTGACCATTATGCCCTTATAAGAACTATCTATATGGGATCAGATTGACAACAGCAAATTGAAGGATTAGGGGGCAGCAAGTTTATGTCAATGAGGGAGGAACAACTGAGAAAAGGAGGGTGAGAATGGTTGCACAACTTGAAGACTGTAATCAATGTCACTAAATGATACGTGTAGAAACTGTTGAATTGGTGTATGTTCTGCTGTGTATATTCTCAACAAGAACAAAATAAATAAAATTTAGGAAAAAATAGAAGATATACAAATGGCCAATAAGCACATGAAAATATGCTCAACATCATTAGTCATTAAGGAAATGCAAATCAAAATCACAATGAAGTATCACTTCATCTCCATTAGAATGGCTATTATAAAAAAAATGAAAATAAGAAGTGCTGGCGAGGATGTGGAGAAATTGGAACCTTCATACATCTGTCAGTGGAGGCTTGCATGTTGCTACAATGCTGAACAGGTTTCAGGGGAACTTCCAGGCTAAGACAGACTAGGAAGAAAGGCCTGGAGAGCTACTTCCAAAAATCATCCAGTGAAAACTCTTGTGGATCCACAACCAATCATGGGGATGGCACAGGACTGGGCAGCGTTTCATTCTGTTATGCATGTGGTTGCCATGAGTCAGCAGCCAACTCGAAGGCAGCTAACAACAACCTTAGATATATACTTACCCCTGGACTTCCCTAATGTAATTAGCATACAATTAAAAATAGTTGCTCATTCAAAAAAGAAAAAAAAAAAAAAGTCAGTTCTTCCTGAACTGACCTATAGATACAAACCAATTCCAATCAGGTTTACATCTGGGTTTTTCATAATACTTGGTAAACAGATGCCAGAACTATATGGAAAACTAAAGGGCCAATAATGACCAGGATACTTCTGAAGAAAATAATATGGAGGAGGGACTTACCTTTCAGATATCAAAGCTGGTTATGAAGCTATAGAAATGAGGAGAGTATACAATTAGCACAGAGTTAGACAAATTTGACAGTGAGATAGAATAGAGAGACCAGACACAGCCTCAAACCTGTTGCTGTTCGGTCGATTCTGACTCATACAGACCCTATAGAACAGAGTAGAACTGCCCCATAAGGTTTCCAAGGAGCAGCTGATAGATTTGAACTGCTGACCTTTTGGTTAGCAGCCAAGCTCTTAACCACTGCGCCACCAGGGCTCCAGACACAGCCTAGGTATATATAAAATATAGATATGACAATGGAGTCATGGCAGGTCACTAGGAAACAGAAGTGATAATAAAAAAAGGGAGCTGGAAAGATTAGTTATCTGGATGGAAAAAAATAAAATTGGATCCTTGCCTCACACCATACATAAAATCCAGACAGGTCAAGGGCTTAAATACCAAAAGCGCAGCTCTTAAAACTTTTTTTTTAATAGGTGAGTAGCTTTCTGTTCGGATAAAGACGGCTTTTAAAAACAAGACAGAAAAAGTGATAAATACACAAGATTGATAAATTTGACTATATTAAAATAAAGAACACCTTTGTTCATCAAAAGAAACATTAAAGAAGATGAAAAGATAAGGTATAAACTGGGTGATGATTATTTACAGAAAAATAATACAAAAGAAGGCTTTATCAAAAATAAAATAGCTTGTACAAAGGACAACCATCATAACTGACATATGAGCAAAAGGCATGAAAAGGAATTCACAGAAGAGATAACTTGCATGGTCAATAACTACACGAAGTAATGTTCAATCTTATTAGTAGTCAGAGAAATCAAATTAGCCCCATAATGAGATACCGTCTTGCATCCATTCAAATGATGAAAATCAAGAATTGTGACTATTGCAAAGTGTTGGAGGGGATGTGGATCAATAAAATCTCTTTGTTAGTAGTAGTTTAAATTGGTACAGCCACTTTGGAAAACACTTGGGCATTATCTTGAAAAGCTGAACATTCATATTTACGTTCATCAATCGTACTTCTAGGAATATAAACTCTTGCAAATGAACACCACGTGACTTGAACAAGAATGCTCATAGCAGCACTGCCTATAATAGCAAAACTCAAAATAATTTTCAAAAGGAGAATGGTTAGATAATAATAGAATTTTATATAGCAGGGAAAATGGATGAACTACTGTCATATGAACAATATGGATGATCACATGCAATAACCTTTTTTAAAATCAAGTTAAAAACAGCTACAACTAAGTGACATACCTTCTTAGAACGCGTAGGTTAAAAAAACAAACAAAGGAATGAGAAAGACAAAATTTATGATAGTGATTACCACTAGGGGGGAGGCAGGGGGATGGAGTAGGTGAAAACCACACAGGTAGTCAGTGTTCTACTTCCTGTGTTGGGTATGGGTTTGTCTTTGTTTATTATATCACTAAAAAGAAAGTAACCAAGGAATAAATAAAAGAGGGGCATCCATGGACCAAAAATGAGATCCTGTCAAGGACCAAAGATTACAATTAGTCCAATTCTGGGCACCTGAGGGAAAAGGAAACGACTCAGAGACTAGCCAGGGCATTCTTGAAGAAGAACCAGGTGGCGGGGGCGGGGCGGGGGGACTTGCTCAACCAAATATCAAGACTTGGGCAAGCTCTACCAATGAAGATGTGTGGTACTTTTGGTACATGTGGTATGAATGACAGGTAGCAAGCTTGGAGGTTCCGTTTGTTACTTAAAATCAAGGTAAAGTAGAATGGGAGCTTTTTCTTTTTCCCATAAAAGAAGGAAATGATGAGAAATTGAACCTGAAAGCAGTGGGCACTCAAGCACAGAAGCCTGGTCAGATTTGTGCTTGATGTCCCTACTCACTTTTCTTTTCGTGGTGAAAGTCCCGGGCATGTTCCTCAACATGTCCACCCACTTGACTGTGCGCATGCGGTCATCCCAGTCGGGGACCTGGTCTGCAGGGAGCTGAAATACTATCTTGGAGAGCTTGCACTTGACCCTCATCTTCTTCAGGGTGATGGGCAAGTCCGACTTCAGGGTCACCACTATGTCCTTGGCACATCCAGGGTGGAGGTGTCCCATCTGAGAAAGAGCCTGGTATTAGTATTTTGGGGAATTCAATCTTGAAAACTCTTGCTATCTGGTGGTGACAGTCTAGAGAACTAGTGAAAGTCAAAAGTCTTGGCAAAAATATATCATTCGAGGCTGTATGTGTAGATTGACTAAAATATATTCAAGACGCTCCTAGATAGAAGTACAATCATGATAACAGCAACTAACATTTATCAAACTGTTACTCATGTCAGGCACTATTCTAAACCTTTATACAATGCTGTGAATCTCCGCAACAACTCTATGCGATATGTACAGATATTACCCCCATTTTACAGACAAGGAAACTGGACCCAGAGATTGAGTAACCTGCTCTAGATTATACCATTAGTATTGGAAGAGCTAGGGGACATTCAGGCAGCATGGCTCCAGATGCTACACTCTTAACCACTTCGTACTTCTTAACCGATATGATCTATACAAATTATGGACGGATGAATGCAGTATACCAGTGGTTCTCAAGGTGTGGTCTGGGGATTCTTGGGATCTCCAAGACCTTTTCAGGGGGCTCATAAGGTCAGAATTATTTTTATAATAATACAAAGATGTTATTTGACTTTTTCACTCTCATTTTCTCATAAGTATACAGTGGAACTTTCCAGAGGCTACATGACATATGCTACTGCATCAGAAGCAGAGATGAGAATCGAGCTGCCTTCCATTAAGTCAGCCATTAAAGAGATTTGCAAAAATGTAAAATAATGCCATTCTTCTTACTAGAATTTTTGTTTTGTTTTGGAAAATACAGCCATTTTCATAAAAATATGGTATTTATATTAACAAGTAATGGGTTTATTATTGTGCTTTTAAATAAACAAATACATACTTTTAAACATTCTCAGTTTTATTTCTAATATGGTAAATATTGATTTAGCATATAAAACACACATACATACATATACCCACATATACACCATATATATATCAAAGTCCTATCATGCTACTGACAGTTAAAAAAAAAACAAACAACTCTTCCCCCTCTGAAAAGTGAGGGGAGAATAATGCCTAGCATTTGCCAAGGCCATGAATGCACGCGTGTGCATGTGTGTATACGTACGCAGGTATGTGTGTGTATGTACAGGGATGTGTAAATGGACCTTAAGAAGCTTAAGCTTCTCTGATTAACACTTTGCTAACAAAGATAATGCTCAAAACTAGATTACCCTATTAGATTATCCTGTGTCTGTTTCTTCATCTGTAAAATGCAGATAATAATAGTATTACCGTACAGGGTTGTTGTGAGGATTAAATGAATTAATCCATGTAAAGGTCTTAAACTACCTCTGGCATGTAGTAAGCACTCAATTCACAGTAACTACTATTAGATATGGAATCTGTCAGGAGGATTAAAATGAACTTTACATCCCTCCAGGAAGCAAAACTTCTTCCTGACAGCACCCAAAGATTTAAAGGTGAAAAAGCAGAGTCCTCAACCCTCTGTACTCCTCCCCTGGAGTTCTACGGTTGAGCAGACTTGGTGACTCCTGTAAGTCAAGCAGGAGGCAGTGAATACTAGCATCCTGGGAAATCAAAAGTAAACTGTCTGCAAAAAGCAATTTATGACCAGGGGGTACAATCAGCTACAATGTTGTCCTGGGTCTTGTTCAAAGTGGAGCTTCAGTGAGCAATTCATAAAATGTGGGCTGTAAGATGCTCAAAGAAGGAGTTAGAAAAAGGCGCTCTGGAGGTAATAATAAATTTGGAAAATCCCAGGTATAAGCAAGTTGACTAGGTTTTAATATGTTCAAGAGCACTGAGAACCTCTAAGAGAACGATGTAACTTGCAACATTTTCTGAACCTCAGTTATCCACAGAACCTACCATCCATCTTTTAGCTTTTGGTTAACTACTTTTGCAGGACTAATATTCTAAAGAACGTACACCTAGGGGAACACAGGATTACATTCTGGGATAGGAAGACTGGGACCTGTATTTATCCATATAAGCCTTCCTGGAATTCCTCAACATCAGCCTAGCAACAGTCTTGGCAGACTTCATTCTCTCCTCTTCCCCTCTTAGACCAAGGGGACATGAACAGTGTTCTCCAGCACCAGGTCTGAGTGAGGGATGGTTTCTAGGTTGTCTCCCAGCCTGGGGAAGCAGACCCTGCATCCATGGGAACAAGTTTGCAATCAAATCAGGGTTGGCTCAGGCCTAAGGGAGTCCAGAAAACAGTGAATGGCTTTTACTTACCTGTGGGGAGAAAGAAAGTGTAGCTAAAACAGGCCATTCAAACCGTATCGCATTCACTTGACTGTGGTTAGTGATTGTGAAGCTCACGGTATAGCTGTTGCCAATGTGGCAGTCCCCAAAGTGGATGTGGTCCACCAGAGCAGCTAGGGGACAGAAGCAGAAGGCCAGTGAGTCCTCCCTGGTCTCCTCCTAGGGCTCTCCTCCCTTAGGAGGCAGTACATGATAGATTGTGCCTTATCCTCATGAATCCCTCCCTCCTTGGATTGTTGCATTTGAAAACTGAAATTTGTGAACAGCCAAGATTATGCTCCCACCCCAGGGGAATCTACCTACCTATTAATCCATCCATCTATCCATCCATCCATCCATCCATCTATCCATCCATTCACTGATCTACCTTGGCCCTCACCTCCATTTGTACAAGAGAAGACATACACCTCCAACTCCATTTGTTTGGTGAGACAATGCTATGCAGGGTTAGGGTGGCCAGATAAAAATACAGGAGGCCCAGTTACATCTGAATATCAGATATCGCATGGGACACACTTATACTAAAAATGTATTCACTGTTTATCTGAAATTCAAATTTATTCTTATCTGCTAAATGTGGCAACCCTATTACAGGTATGAAACTCGATTTCTGAACTAGGCTTCACTGCTGACTCCTGTGAGGCCACTGACAAGAGAGATGTCACCCTGTAGTAGGAAACAGGGGTGAAATACTAAATACATAAGAAGCATTAAGTGTAATCCTTGTTGTGTGCTATCTAATGCTACACTCCAGGACTGTGATTAAGCTCATAGAAAAACTTTTGGACTGTGTTTATAACTCACTACACAACAATCAGCCACACAATTAGGGTGCTTAACAAATGTTTTTCACTAATAATGAAGTAAATTTTTTTCCAATCCCAAGGAATACAGTCAACCAAGTGAAGCTGTGGTAGAACAGCACTTCTTAAGCTTTAATATGCCCATGGATCACCTGGGGACCTTGTTAAAATGCAGACTCTGATTCAGTAGGTTTGAGGTGGGGCCTAAAAGTCCCACTTCTAACAAGCTCCCAAGGAGCCCTGGTGGCACAGTGGTTAAGCGCTTGGCTGCTAATTGAAAGGTCGCAGTTTGAACCCACCAGCCACTCTGTGGGAGAAAGATGTGGCAGTCTGCTTCCGTTAAGATTACAGCCTTGGAAACCCTATGGGGCAGCTCTACCCTGTCCTGTGGGGCCGCCATGAGTCGGAATCGACTTGACAGCACTGGGTTTGGTTTTTGTTTTTTAACAAGCTACCAGGTGATGCAGATACTGTAGGCTCTCAGACGGCACCTTGTGTAGTGAGGCTGTAGAGGATGCTGCTGCAGAGGGTGCACAAACCTACCCCTCTAATGAAGCAAGCCCATCAATTCTCTTAGAATATCTAGGAGACATGGTTCAGATGAGCAGACAGATAAAGGCTTTAGCCTGGAAAAACTACAAAGAGGTATTCATTCACTTATTAGCTGAACTGGAATTGTAATACCTATTAAACTATAGGGGTCCTGGTGGCACAATGGTTAAGCATTTGGCTGCTAACCAAAAAGTCGGCAGTTCGAATCCACTAGCTGCTTCTTGGAAATCCTATGGGGCAGTTCTACTCTGTCCAATAGGGTCTCTATGAGTTGGAATCAACTCGATGGCAATGGGCTTGGTTTGGTTTAGTTTATTAAGCTATAAGCTCCTTAAGGGCAGAGACTGTTTCTTATTAGTCTTTGCAACTCCAGGGCACATGCACAATGAGTGCTCAAAAAGTGTTTATTGAGCACATGAATAAATGGGTGAATGAATGCAGTGACTGTGTCAGGCACTACAGAGCATACAGTGATGAAGAGGATATTCATCCCTAAATTCCCAGGAAGCCAGCCAATCTGCTATTAAACTTCACTCTCCTTTTGAAATGACCCAAGAGCCAACAGTTGTTGACACCTCACTGCTGCTTCTCCCACCTGCTACCACGTCTTCCATAATGTTTTCCTCGGAGACCTCTGTGATATCGGAGATATCTGAAGCCTCCTGGCTGTTGGAAGCCACCAGCCCGTGGACATTGTCCAGGGTGATGTCGTCTTCATAGCCCTCTCCCACCATGTGGATGATGGTCTCCTCATATTGATTGTCGACCACTGACAAACGGATGGTGCCTGCCATTCTCCCAACTTTCTGGGAGTGGAAAAGTACATCAAATTCAGCTGTCTCTCCAGGAGAAACAATGAGGGAAGCTGTGTGAGCTTTCTTTGCTGCAAAGAAAAGAGAAAAGATACGATTTAGAACCAGGTTAAAGAAAGATGCCTCATTAAAGGCCTGACTCAAAGGAAAGCACCCCTCACATGGGAATGAGCCTCAGCTAGAGAGGCCACTGGTGACAAGAGTGGGCATCCTACTCTGGATGGGGTCATAACCAATCCCTTAACAAAAACAGCAACTGAGATCCACACTATCCTCCAGAAGGTAGCCCCTCTCCACTTACCTTTTTCATTTGGTTTGTTTTCTTCTACAATGTAGATATAGGAGGTAGTGGGTCTTCCTTTCAGGGAGAAGACTCCTAGTTGGTCCCGAAGGTCAACATGCAGCTGGCAGAAGGAAAGGAGGATTGAGCGTTAGGCTTACAGGCTGCTCATGGGTTTTCAGTCTGGGGTGAGATGTTGCACTGTGTTTGGGGCAGTACCCAAAAAAATTATCATGGCTAATGCTCACTTTTCAAAGTTTCTTATTAAGAGAGAGATAGAATAAATATTAGACCTGAAGAGGACAGAAGAAAATTTAGTCAGGTCAGCCCTTGTTATCCAGGTGAGGAACCTGAGACCCAGAGAGTAAATGTGACTTTCTAGGTCATACAGATAAATAGTGTCAAAATGGGGTTGCCAAGGCCTCTGTTATTGACAGAGGCAGTTGTAAAATATACGCTAGGCTAATAAAATAGAAAGGAATACTCATAATTCTATGAGGACTTGCATGAATGTGAGTTCCTAAAACCCAGTGAAAGCCAATATCTCCTGGGTACCAAGCATTACTTGTCCGATAGCATAACACTGAGCATACTATCAAGATAAGAAGAAAACCAAAATGTGCATCTGACCAACTTGGAGAAAAGGAGTGGTTCCCAGATCACTGTAAGGAAGATAAGATTAAAGCTATTTATCTGACTTTAGGTATGAGAAATCAGCAGATATTTTTAGATGATAGAAATGCTGGCACCATCATGAACAAAATTGAATAATATAAAGGTGAGGGATGAGGAATAAGGAAGAAATAATGACATCACAAAGGAACCTTATGAGATAAAAAGGCATTAACTATTTAGAAAAAACCTTAATAAAAGAAACTACGTGGAGAAATTACATGACAAAAAAATTGACATAACAGAAGATGTAAATAAATGGGTTAGAATCCGAAATATTGCTCCTGGTGGAGGGCCTAGATACTCTAAAGTAGAAATTCTTCACAAATAATTCATAGGCTTCCCAATAGTATTTTCTTGAGGAACATTATAAAATGATTCCAATGTTCATTTTAGAGACTAAATAGTCAAAAATTGTTAAGAAAATTTTTTTTTTTTTTAAAAAGAGGGAGGAGGTAGGCAGGAATTCACTGAACTAAACGCTATAACATTTTATAAAGCCACAATAATGAAAGCATCGCAGAATAATGGAAAACTAAGTAACTTGAACTCAAGAGAAGAAAAAAAAAGCTAGATTAAATATATAAAAAATCTTGAAAGCATCACAGTTTTTAATCAAGTGGGTATGGCAGAGACTGCATCCCAGGCGAAGACAGAGAACCAGCTATCCTTCAATGCCCAGCTCAAATGTCATTACTTCAGTGAATTTTCCCTCAGTCCCCTAGATAGACGTATGTCCTTTTCAAAAGTCCTACAGTTCTTTGTATAACACTTACAAAACGTATCACTTTTTAAAATAAAATTAAAACATAATTGTAGAACGAAAGTCCCTTTAGATGCTGCATTTCCACCCTCCCTCCACCATGAGGTTTTTTTCACTATGTTTTTCTTATGACAAAAGAAATGTTCATGACAGAAAGAAAATGAAAAAAAAAATGAAACAAAACAAACAATGACTAAGCTGAGAATACCCATAGTCCTACTCAACTTGGTGTATACCATTGCACACTGCCTTGCACAGCAGTTACTGGTATACTGTGTAGTCTGCTTTCCTACATTCCTTGAGGACAGAGACCATGTCTGATTCCCCTCTGCATGTCCCATGTCTTACACTCAGGTTAATGTATAAGACCATCAAAGAGGATGCTATATTAGGGATGGGAGAGACATCCGTGTAAGAAGTTTAACTACTGAATGATTTTGCTCCCTTCCCACCCCATGCTTCACCCTCCAGTATTACCTGGGCTGGGATGGTGCCATTGTTCTTGAGGATGAGAGGAAGTTTCTCTGAATGACCAAGCAAAAGCCTCTTAAAGAGGAGAAAGGGGTTTCCAAGTTGGTTATAGAGAACTGGCCGTACAACGATCACTCGAGGGAGGTTCCCCTCTCCCATGATATCAAACACAAGGCTTCGGTTCTTGGCCAGGTTGCTGCAGGGAACAGTAAGATCAAGGCCTGTCAGCCTGGCCTGGCAGGACTGGCATTCCATAGAGGGTGTGGCCTGCAGTCTCGCTGCAGGAGAGGGAGTTGGTACCTGGGCAAGCCATCCAGTGCTGCCTCAAAGATACACTGATAGGTCTGCATGGTCTGCGGGGTAAAGGACACCGTGGCAAAGGCATGCGAGCGACTGGCAATACACATCTTGTTGGGTTCCACTTCAAAGATGTCGGTGATGCGGGCAATGGCCTGGGGAGGGTGAGCAAGGACCAGGGTGTGTTAGCTGCTTTGCTTTTACACAGGGCTTTCTGCTCATCTCTACTGCCTCTGTTGTGAACTCCCCTCCTCTGAGCTTTGTGGCAGACATTCCATTGCCTGCGTAGTCATGGCTTCTGGAAGGAGTAGCCTAGATACTCTGGGACCCAACCTTGAGTAATAACTGGCTGAACTTGGCTAGACCCACGAGCGGGGGTGGATTATCCAGTAGGTAAAGTAAGCACAGTACTTAGACCTTGCTTACCAGATCATCTGTAGTGAAATTGTTTATTACAGATTAGTAAGTAAGCACAAGTAAGCCCGTGCTTACCTTGCTTACTGGGTCATCCGCCCTTGTCAGGGATTGTAAATTTGAAAAGAGGCTTTGATTCTGTAGGGAGATGCTGTGGGGTTGGGAGAGAGATAGACGCCAGCCATACCTAGAAGCAGAATCTTTGATGTGGTGAAAAATGTGAGATTGTTTGCTACAGATGATCTGGTAAGCAAGGTAAGCCCATGACCATTGATTCAAATAGGTGAACAAAGCCAATCTCTCTCTCTCTCTTTCTCTCTTTATATATCTATCTTCATCTATCTCAACTAAATTGAGCTGCCCAGAGATCAGTGGTTGCTGATGTAGAGCTGAGGTTGAAGCATGAACCATATGCATGATGAGGAAGCCAGGCTAGAGAACGGAGCAAACGCACAGAGAGAAGCAGAGACACCACGAGTGAGAGAACACACGTGGCCCATGAAGGGTGGATGGAGTATCTTCTGGTCTTCTGAAGGCTGCATTTCAGGTGACAGTTTCAGTTCCAAAGAGGTCTGGCTACATGGTGTGTCTGAGATCTCTGATTCATTGCTGTAAACTTTGCTTTGTTTGGGCTCACCTGAATGGGTTTCTGCTTCTTGCAACTCCAACAGCCTTGGCTAGAACAACCTCCCACAGCACTTTATCTGTTCCCTTCTTGTGGCAGCATTTTGGGAGACTGTAGACACAATCCACAACATGGGGCTCAGACCCCTGGCACAGCCTCGAAATGATTTTTTTGTTCTCATGGGAAGCAAGTGGATTCAAGACTATTACCTCTTGTTCTTAGGCTGAGAGCACTAAGGTTTCTTTGCTCTTTTCAAGGGATAACCTTTAAGTCTTCAAATTAGGGAGGAGAACATATAATGTCTGCAAATCCCCTTAAAAATCACTTTTTGTTTAGAAATCAGGTTTGATCTCTTTTTTATGTTTCTGGTACGGAATAGAAAGAAGCCTGCCTCTCAGTGTCCCAGATGAAGTCAGAGAGTAATAGGGTCATAAAAGGAGTTAGATAGTGCCCCCATCCCTACCTCTCCCCAGTGAGAGTCACCTAGGAATGCACCTATACTCAGCTGTAGGTTGAGGTCAACGCCTGTGTGACCTCCCCACTGCCATCACCCCGTGAGCAATGCCAGCTCTGGGGCATGAGATTCCTTCTTTGGGCAGACAGCTGGAGGCAGCTGACATAAGACTAGTAATTGCAACACGTTTGGAAACTAAGGGTGAGTAAGGGAAACCCGTCGACTAAGCCCTCTCTCTCAGTATCCTGAATTTTCTATTCCATTGTGAAGAAAAAGGATGTCAGTATGGTTTGACTCAGGGCCAAGGCAGTTTTGGGTCAGGCAGACCCTGAGATGGACACTTGCTATTTACCTTTTACGTGGATGAAGCTTGGCTTCAAACCTCACTCCCATCCCTGGGCTCTGGGGACCTAAAGGAAGAACTTAGCCTTTCTGAGTCTCATTAACTATAAAATGGGGATAATAATATAAACTCTGGCAACTACAACAATAACACATAAGTTCTGAAAGAGTTATGAGGGTTAAATGAAAATAATAAATGTAAATCATTTAGCACAGTGCCTGGCACACAGGAGGCACTCAATAAATGTTCACTATTTTACCTCATCCTTATAGTTTGCCACCCCCCACCATCTCCTATACTCGAAGAATATGCAGGCCTGTCTGAAACTGGTAAAACCTTTGAAGACATATCTAGAAATTTTCCAAAATTGATTTAAGACCTCAATCTGCCGAATCAAGAAGTCTAGTGAATTCTAAGAAGGATAAATGAAAAGAAACCCACATTTAAATATATCATGGTGATGTGGCTAACCCAGCCACATCTGCCAGACACTTTTGGAGAGATCTGTGGGTCTCTTCACAATGCTCTGTCTATTCTAGGCACACAGTGAGGGCTTGGTAGATAAAGGAGCTGCTAGCTTATCACAGAGGTACCCAGATGAGATACCAATGGGACAAATGTATGGCCCTTGGTCTAGGGGAAACTGCCTGGTTACCTCACGTAGCTTCCAGCAGGGCCTGGGAGCCAGATAATTTCCACTTATGTATAGAGGCTTCAGAGCAGGGGTTTCCAAGGGCTCTTTCCCTGGCTGTATGCCATCCAAGGTAGGCACTGGCCATCTGGAGCATCTTACCTTATTGGAGACAGGCTTAACCACAATGTTCACATCACAGGCAATCTTTCCCACATTGCTGATTTTGAACCGGGCCTTGGCCTGATGGCCCACCAGGACATTGCAGAAGATGAACTTGTTCTCATCCTCCACGAACAGCCCCCTACTCTCTGTGGTCTGCAGGATGTGGTACAGGTTGGGGCTGGAGCAGATCTGGTGCTCCTCAAATATCAAGGCATTGTTGTCTGTCACGAAAGCTAGGGAATGGAGGGAAGAAGGTGAGCAGGTGCCTGACTGCCAGATTCCTGGCTCTGTGATTCCTAATTTGGAGGTTTGAATTCTGACAACACAGAATCATAGAGGAGAGGTAGGGGGATAACACAAGTGGGGGTGAGTGATGGGACAATTCTATCTTCTCTCCCTCTTTTGTATTGTTCTTGTTGGTTGCCATATTTCCAATAACCTTTTCCTTCCAACGAGGAGGGGTATGATGTGAGATCTGGGGTGGGCTTGGGAGGGAAGGAGGCATTGGGCCTACTTTGGTTCAAGGCTGCAGGATGCCTATAGCCAAAGCAAGAGGCGTTCTCTCTGTGCTTCATCTCAGCTCTCACTCGGGCTTAGAGCTGAGCCTAATGAAAAGTTAGAGTGTGCTCAGCTACTGACCATTGTTCTCTGCACGTATGTTGCCCACAGGAGTGGCCTGTGGACTTGAGCAGAATTCCGTGTTCCTGGGTCCTATGCCACATACCATCTCACCATGATTCCCAGATAACACTACTTATCTGAGGACACAGGACCTAAGCCAGGAGGGCTAGGAGTTTAAAGCTGCATGTCCTTGTCTAGGTGTGTATGCCTTGTCTTTAGTGACAAATATGGCTGAAGACTCTAAGGCCAAAGGTCCCAAAGAAAGCAGCCATGCCCATCTGCTAGATACCACTGGAGAGATTTGCCTGGGGGAGGGGTAGTATAAAAATGTACCTCCTTTAAGGGGTGCCGCGTGCCCAGTACCTGGCATACAGGCTTCGGCCAACAGCGTATAAGGAATACCAGCAGGCTGGTCTCTAGGGTCTCGGTCGGAGATGTCGATGGCTATAAACTCCTCGCACCTTCCTACAGGGTCAGCCACACAGTCGACAGTGATGACCTGCTGTCCTCCGGAAGGAATGGAACCAAAACCAGGGTACACAGTGAACATTCCATGGGTGAAGCGAGCCTGCAGGATAAGGGTGGGAGAGGTGGAAGGCTGGAGGCGAAGTGGATGATAGAGTCTGAGACCCACCCCAGAGCCATGAGATGGTGTCGAGAGGGACAGGTGGAGGCCCCTCCCCACAGGAACTCTCTTAGCCTGGAAGGAGGAGGGCCAGGGTGACTCCCAGCGATGGCTGGGGGTCTTCATGGATGGGCTCCCTCAGTGCTTCTTTATATTCACTTCACTCTGACCGATCATGATGGAGTGGGGGGTTTAAGGGAACAGATATTCTCTGCCTCATATAAACTCATCCAGTAGGAATCTCCCAGCGGAGGGTGGGAAGAATGGAATAACGTTTAAGATTATGGACTTTTGAGTCAGTTAGGCCTGGATTTGAATCCCAGACCTTCTATGTACTAACTGTTTGACCTTGGACAAATTACTTCCCTAAGTCTCAGTTCATTTATCCATAAAATGGGGCTAAAGGCCCTAACTTGAGATACCTGGAGGCTTAAATGAGAGAATGTGTGTAAAGCACTTGGCATAGCATCTGAAACAAAATTAGTGTTAAAAAAATGGAACATCAGCATGCATTCCTCTGGTTTTGCCCTCGCCCAGTGTGAGAAGGCTGCTGAGAAGCAGTCTGATGTAGGACGTCCTTCTCTGGGGCACCTGCTCGACCATCCTTGGAAGCTGCCGCGTAGTGGGTGGGGACCTAGTTCCAACCAACTCCTGCTCTTCTTCCCCACAGAGATGCACTCTCCCCACTGGCCTTTCCCCCCTCCTAAATCCCTTTAAGCAGGTACTATGTAATACTGTATTAAGAAGTGATTGATTCTGACAATGCTCAGACACGGACTTTGGATTCAGGAACTTCCCTAAATTCTTATCACACTGATGTAGGTGGCTGAGCAGGCTGGTGCAAAGCACACCTCTAGCAGGCGCTCTTTACACAGGTGTCCTAGTGCTGAGCAGTGTGCAACTGCACAGTGCACAGGAGGCTGTTCCTGACCTAATTCAGTCAGTATTTAGTGGACACCTACTATGTGTCAGGAACTGTACTAGGCACTGGTTTGTTGTGGTTAGTTGCTGTCGCGTTGGCTCTGACTCAAGGCAACAACACATACAGCAAAACAAAACACTGTCTGGTCCCACACCATTTGCATGATCATTAGTATGCTTGAGTCCATTGTTGTGTCTGTTGTGTATTTTGAACGTCTTTCAATCTAGGCGGCTCACCTTCTGGCACTATATCGGACAATATTCTGTTGCGGTCCATAGGGTTTACATCGGCTAATTTTCAGAAGTAGATCACCAGGCCCTTCTTCCTAGTCTGTCTTAGTCTGGAAACTCCACTGAAACCTGTCCACCATGGATGACCTGCTGGTATGTGAAATGCTGGTGGCACAGCTTCCGGCATCATGGTAACATGCAAGCCACCACAGTACAACAAACTGACAGATGGGTAGTGGAGGCACTGGTAATTCCAGCCAGGAATTTGCCCTGACCTCATACTGTTTGCCCTCCAGTGCAGATGGCAGACAGAAAGGAAATGAGCAAATACTTATCAAAACACTGGGAAGAAGGCTACAGAGGAAATAAAAGGGAGTTAAAATAGAAGATAACAGAGAGTGACAATGTGATCAGGGAAACCACTCCAAGGAGGTGATATTTAAGCTGAGATTTGAATGATGAGAGGAAGCCAGCTAAGCAAAAGCAGAGGATGTGGGGGAGTGTGTATAGGAAGAACATTAAAGACAAAGGGAACAGCATGTGCAAAGGGCTTGAGGCAAGAAATAGCTTAGCCTATTTGAGGAACTACAAGAGGACCAGAGGGCAACATGGGGTGAGTACGAGGGAGATGGAGGCTCCAGACTTGACTAGAGAGGGAGGTAAGGGCCAGTATATGCAGAGCCCTGTAGGTCCCAGGGAGGAGCTGGGCTTTATTTTATGAGAAGCCACTGAACATTTTTAAGCAGGAAAGTGACATGGTGTAAACTCATGTTTCAGAAAGTTTGCTTTGTGGTATGCAGGGTCCTCATCAATGATTAGTGGGGAGTAAGATGGGGTGGAGAGGAAGGCTTATGGACTTGAGGGGAGGAAAAACAGTGTGGCAGAGTCACCGAGGGAGTGAGAAAGTGAGCCTTGAGAAAGACATGGTGTGGCCTGCAGGGGAGTGCTGAGGGCCCATTTGAGTGAGGCTTGTGATCATGAATTCAAAGTAGAATCCATCAGCCACACTCAATACCTGACTGCAGATGTATGGTAGGATGGGTCCAGATAAGGTTTTTTTTTCCTGGGCCAGAACAAGGGAGAGAGAGAAAGGAGAAAGAGAGTTCCAAGTGTCTGCGAGGGAGTGATTCTAAAGGTGGTCCACTGAATCCAGGATGGACAAGGATAGAGTGAAGCAAGGAGGAGGTTGGTGCATAGTAAGAAAATGATAGGGTGTTGTCTCAAAGGAGCAAAGAACAGCTGAAATGGGTGGACTTGAGCTAGTGAGCTGGGAGAAATTGATGTGGTGGTCAGAGCGAGGGATCTGGGAAATTAAGACTTCAGAAGCTCTTCAGTTTCCTGTGATACAAGGTTCAGGGTATGACCACAGGAAAGAGTACCCAAGGTAGAGGAGAGGAAAAAGTCATTGGAACTGAAAGGTAGGGTGTTGGAGAGAGGCTGTTTCACTGAAGGCTGAGAAGATACAGCAGGTGAAGAAGGCAAATATATATATATATATGTATAAAATTATGTATGTTAATTAAATAGAAGTCATCTGTTGAAAAGAAGAGGAAGCTATCTAAAAAGAGATAAAAACTAATATGAGAAAACTCAATCCAATTCAATCAATAATTATTGTTGTCCACAACGTGCAGAGTACCTACTTCTACCTATTTCTGCCTTCAATGCAGATGTGGTGCCTAGAGCTGAAGCAGCCATCTTGGAACCATGAGGGAAAGGCTAAGAGAATCACAAACATCAATTAGGCACTAAAGCAATACTGCCAACTTCCTGTTGTTGTTGTTAGGTGCCATTGAGTCAGTTCTGACTCATACAGACCCTATGTACAACAGAACGAAACACTGCCCAGTCCTGCACCAACAGATTTGCCCAATGTCATATGTCATTTGATTTCTCGACTGCTGCTTCCACGGGCATTGACTGCAGATCCAAGTAAAATGAAATCCTTGACAATGTCAATATTTTCTCTGTTTATCATGATACTGCTAATTGCTACAGTTGTCAGGATTTTTGTTTTCTTTATTTTCAGGTTTAATCCTTATTGAAGGCTGTAGTCTTTGATCTTCATCAGTAAGATCAAGTCCTCTTCACTTTCAGCAAGCAAGTTGTGTCATCTGCATATTACAGGTTGTTAATGAGTGTTCCTCCAATTCTGATACCCCACTCTTCTTCATATAGTCCAGCTTCTGGGATTATTTGGTCAGCATACAGATTGAATAAGTATGGTGAAAGGATACAACCCTGATGGACACCTTTCTTGACTTTAAACCACTCAGTATCCCCTTGTTCTGTTTGAACGACTGCCTCTTGGTCTATGTACAGGTTCCTCATGAGCACAATTAAGTGTTCTGGAATTCCAATTATTCACAATGTTATCCATAATTTATTATGATC